TAATAATGGAAAGTACAGTTTGCTAAGAATTGCCTTTTACACATAGTTGAACATCATCACAGAATTAAAATGTTTACTGTCCAGTTTCTCTGAAATAAAAGGGAAGCGGGATGGTTTTCAAACCAGTGTTGACTTAGTTGTGTAAGTAGACTGGTGATTTGATATTTCCCATCTTCGTCTGTCCATGCCTGATTCTCCGGGGTTTTCACTTGGAATTTCTGGTTTACAGCACAAGCTACGGGTTAGGCCAGTGCCCTTCGAAATCTTTTCTGGCTGACTTTTGTCAGTATTACAGCAACAAAGAAAACGGGCGCTGTGTTCATCTAGTGCCTGGTGGGGGGAGTAATGCCGAGGAAGGCTATAAATATCCTGCATTTACAGAGTGCCTTTCATCTCCTGCCCAAGATTTATAAAGAATATTAAAAAAAACACAACTTTACAGATTGTTACAGAGAATGCACTCATGGTAGGGAGAAGCCCAGGCCTGAAACACAGCCAGTTTCTCGAGGGAACATCATGCTCCTTTAACCACTCAGAAGAACCCATATAAATTGTTTAAAATGTTGCTAGACAGGCTAGCCTGATGAGACCACTTCACTTGCGGCAAGGCAAATAATAATAAAGCTGTGCTGTAGATCGCAAAAATATTCGGAAATATTCTTCAGTGGAAGCAGCTTCATATGTTAGTCAAGTGGGGCTGAAACAGGGCTGTAAAATAATAAAGAGCCAATAAAAGCTGTGCTTAAAGTAAAGCAGATTCTGCACTAAGAAAAACATCATTTTTTGCAACCGGTTTAAATGAGCATTTGTGTTAAAGAAAAGCTGCAGCGTGAGTCAGATGCAGACGCGAAATTTTGGATGGAGCACAATTTTTACTGAATCAATAAAATGTCACACACATGAAGTAATACTGCTATTTTTTTTCCCCTGTGTGCTATTGGGAATACCACGACCAGCCAGTCAGAGCCAGTTCTACGGTTAAAGGACAAAGTTTTCCCAGATGAGTGTACTTCAGTGATGAGTCGGCCTCCTCAACTACTAGATATAAATACCAATTTGGCTGTATTTATTTATAGTCCGTCTTTCTTCCAGGGAAAGGACTCAAGGCAGCATACAACAACTAAAAAAACACAAATGCTTAAAAGCATGATAAATTAAGATAGGAATATTAAAATGTAATACAGTAAAATCTAAAACAGCACATGGCCTCATATCCCCCCAGTTCCTTTAATTATGATCAACAGATCAGAATGTTTAAAAATGTGTTTTTAATATATAGATCAAGTTTAAGTTAACAGAAGGTTAAATGCAGGGAAAGCTAAACTGGTGTTTACATCTAGATCGCTTCTTCTGTGCACATAAAGGCTGCTATGAGCAGGGAGGTTGGATTGGATGGCCTTAAAGGACCTTTCCAACTCAGTTATTCTATGAGCCTGTGCTGTACCCATTTTTCCTCCTCTCTGAATAGCTCAGTGAGTTGGGTGAATGGCTGCTGGAGCCAGAGGTTGGGAGTTCGATTTCCCGCCTTGGAGAAGAGCCAGCCTGGGTGGCCTTGGGCAAGCTGCACAGTCCCAGGGCGCCCCCAGTGGAAGGGAAGGGTAAAGCACTTCCAAGTATTCTCTCCCTGGAAAACTCTAAAAAGAGCTGCCAAAGGTTGAAATGGGCTTGAGCGAGGGCACATAATTATTAAGCTAAAGTAGGGGGTCCTCATTCTGGCCAGTAGAGAGATGTCTAGAAGTCCAAGCTTTGGCTATGGGGCAGTGGTGGCAGACTGAGAAGTAATGTCTGCACCTTTTTGTTTTTCACTATATCTACAATCTTTTTTTTTTCATCTTGCAAACAGTCGGTCTCAAAAAACAATGGATGTTACTCCAGGCTTGATTTGCAGCGGTTGTTGTTTTTGCTGTTGTTTTTCATTTTTCCTGCTTCCCTTATCCCCAAACTTTAAAACAGCTAATGCCCTAGGACTGGTTTAATAATTACGTATAGATGACTGCAGTGGTCTGTTCTCCAGTTATTCAGTTAAGAGGATTTACTCATTTCTATGATGAACCTAATTGTTATGTTCTTGTATCTATAAATGCTTTTAAACTCACTGTCAGTAAGGTCAAAAAGGAAAAAAGAAAAGAAAAGAAAACAGGAATCTATAAATAAACTTGGCTCAGTTTTCTGCCAGCCTTAAATGGCAATTGAAAAAAATAATTGTTTTTTATAAGTGCCACAGTGATGTCTCAACTTAACCACATTGGGGATGGCGCTGAACACTTTTAGAGTCACAGGGAATTTTCCAAGAAAGATTACTCTTCCTTAGAAAATGAAGAGAAAGGACAATAAAGGCTCGGAGAACATAACAGTGAAATGTTGTGTGTGAAGCTTGACCTTTGAAAAAAAACCCAGAGAATTAAGCATATTTTAAAAATATTTGTAGCACAGATAATTATTGGAGCCAGGTTTGGCTTTTGTAAAAGGAAGGAAAGGCTCTGTCCATAGTCCTTAGGCAGTGGACAAGGGACTTGGGGCCGGCCCTCTCACTGGGCAGTGTGAACCATCCATCTATCTTGTGTCGGAGATTTGGGGTGGGGGGTGTTAAGGATTCACAAAAGCTAAGATGGGAAAAGTTAGCTTTTCTGGACTACATCTACCGAAATTACCCAAGTTGGGTTGCAACCGGACTTGCTGACCAAGGTCACTTGGCAGTCCCAAAAACAGCCTGTCCTTTTCCTGCATAAAATCTATCAAAGGGTGAATTATTTACTTTATTCTTATTCTGTTTTTACTACCGGGGATAGGGAAAAAAAAGATACGACGGTGACAGCCCTCGTACCCGTCCCTTCGAGAAATAGAATGCAAAAAAAGAAAGGCAGCTGGACGGCTCATGCCAACCAACAAAGAGCAGGTCTTTTGTAGATCTTATAGTTCTTAATGGCCACTTCAAAGACCAAACCACTGTTTGTTCTTATGGACCACGTCAGCTTCCCGCACGTTTGGCCTCTCTGGATGGGTCTTTTGCTGGAGCCCCCCCCCCCTCCAGAATTACTCCTGCGCCAATCCAGCCGGCAAAGACGCGCAGCGACATCCCTGGCGGCGAAATACAGGCTTCTGCCCCTTTAAAAGCTTCAACCCTCGCGAACTATATTTCCCAGAATGCCGCGCGACCAGAAAACATGGCGTTTGTGTTCCCAGCCCCCGCCCCCCTCAGGGAGGGAGCAACGAGACGCGGCCTCGGGCCATTCAAAGCGCGCAAGAAAGGCGGAAATGGGCGGGTCCTGACTGGAGAGCCAATCAAAGCGGGTTCCGCGGCGGGGGGCGGAGCTTGGGGCCTCCGTCGGGGCCGGAGGTGGAGGAGGAGGGCAGAAGATGGCGGCGGCGGGTGGCCGGCGCGGCTGCCGGGGCCGAGCGGGGCTGCTGCTGGTTGGGCTCTGCCTGCTGCTGGGGTGCGGGGCCCGGGCCGAGCAGATGGACGAGTACCTGAAGCGGGAGCACTCGCTCGTCACGCCCTACCAGGGTGAGCGGTGGCTTTAGGGGACCTGGCGCTCGACCTCCGCGCAGGCAGGAGTCCGTCAGGTGACGCTCCCCCCACCCCACCCCAGTACGGCGCTGCCTTGGGTGCAGAGGCTTCCCCGGTTGGATGTCCGACAGGCGGTTAAGGCGCCAAGAGCTCCGAGCCCTTCTCGCAAGTTACCTTTGCTTGCAGAAGAGGAGAGGGAGGGTTCCACCTGTTGGGTCTCTGCCTGTCAGGCCGATGTTCAAGGCATCTCATACTGAGCGGCTGGGCTCGCTGCACTTTCTGCTGGAAATCGTTCACCTGTTGAATGCCTGCCTGCCATGCACATGCTTTTAGAAGGGGGAGGGGTATTGGCCAGTTGCTGGTTCCAGCTGAAGTAGACTCATTGATTCAACAGGACTTATTTGTTGATTTATTGTTATTTAAATCAACTGACTTAATGGGCCAACTCTAATTAGGGGTAGCATTAAGATGTTGGCCAGCCCTGTTTTAGGGTGTGTGTGTGTGTTTTTTCCTCCCCAGAAGAGAAAGTTCATCTGGTACAAGTGAGATACAGTATTTCTTGCTTGGGATAAATGGGCCCCTGTGCCCTTAGTTAGTCCCTGGGATAGGAAATCCAACAGGTGAAGTGCCTCTTTCCAAGGGCATGTAGGTTAAAACGGGGTGGGGTGGGGGAACACCCAAACCCATTGCATTTCTCAATCCAGGTGGAAACAGGGGACTGCTTTATGGGCTTTCTGGTTGGATTCATGGAGGGCACAGAGGATTTGGGTGCAGAAGATGCCCAGAAGGGCCGGAGGTGGGGGGGCTAGAGTGAAAAACAGCTTCTGGACCACGATGGGGGATGAGTTCAGGAGCCGGGCAGTGAAGACAAGCAAGCAGCAAGGGCTGGTCTGTGGGGAAAGAGGGAGGGCTTGGGTTTTTTAAACAGCTGGGTCTTGAAAGGAAAGGGGTGTGTGGGGCAGCTCAAAGGCGCTGTCAGCTCATCCTTGAAATATTGGGGCAAAATATTCCCTTCTGTGCTCAGACCATCAATATCTATGCATAGGTATCTATGCACACAGAGGGAATGTGCGTGAGTGATTGTTTACATGCGTTTGCTAGAACCAGATTGTTGTATTTGCATAAATGCTAATGTTACCATAATCAGAATGTATTCGTAGTCAACCAGGCTGCTCTATAAAGCCGATGTCAGTCAGACCCGTCTGTCAGACAGGGCTACCCATGTAGAGGAAGATGGGGCTGAGGACATGATGGAGGTCAGAGAGAAATAAAGATGTAACTACAGTAACTAAATATATATAATAGAGATTACAAATGACACAGTGTAACCATGAGAGAGATAGTTAGTTACAAGAGAAAATAAGTCTGTTATGCCAAATGTGTAAGCACTGGAAGTTATATTTTATAGATATTTATAAACTATAATACTGTGTATAATAGGGCTTACAAATGTCACAGTGTAACAATGAGAGAGATAGTTACAAGAGAAAATGTCTGTTATGCCCTATGTATAAGCACTGTGAGTTATGTTGTACTTTATATATGTTTATAAACAGTAAGAGTTCTTTCATGTTTTAACCAAGACACTAGTGAGAGTAATTTAATACCTATGGCTGGCACAAAACACACATAGGGGAGAACATACAAATCTTTTACTATACAATAGTGGCTTTTCGTCTAACTGTTTCCGGCTGCTCGATGCAAATTCTGCCAAGTTGTAGGTTATTATTTATTAATTATAACCAAAAGCCAACAAGGCTGAAGGGCGAGCTTGGTTTTTTTTACGACATCTGTTGTTCCAGGCAAAACTGCTCCCTTTTAGAAGTTTCCGGCTGCTTGATGCAAATCCTGCCAGGTTGTAGGTTATTATTTATTAATTATAACCGAAAGCCAACAAGGCTGAAGGGTGAGCTTGGTTTTTTTACGACATCTGTTGTTCCAGGCGAAACTGCTCCCTTCTGTAGATGTGAATACAAGCACCCACATACTGCTGGATTGCTCAGCGGTTGAGGACTCTGGCTGCTGAGCCAGAGGTCTGGAGTTTGATTCCTCCACTGGGCCTCCTTGAGAGAGGCTGGATTCAATCATCTATAGGGTCCCTTCCCGACCTTGGGTTACTCAGGAGTTTTGGACTGCAACTCCCAGAAGCCTTCACCACCAGCTGTCCTGACTGGGGTTTCTGGGAGTTGCAGTTCAAAAGCATCCGAGTAACAAAGGTTAAGAACCACTGATCTATAGGGTCCCTTCCTACTGGGCAGTTCTAAGATGGTTATGTGAAAGGATGCAGATCCCTGCCCCAACAACACAAACCAGTTGCTTGCCCGCATGGCCGTTCCTCCTCCACTGTGTAGTTCCGTTCTGGGTTCTGTTTCTTGATTGCACTACACGGCAACAAGACATAAGGAGCCTGCTCCACCTGCAGGAGGACCCAAATTCTAATCGTCTTCTCTTTTCAGGCGTCGGATCGAGCAGCTCTTCCTTGTGGGAACTCATGGGCAATGCGATGGTGATGACCCAGTTTATCCGGCTCACTCCCGATGTTCAGAGCAAGCAGGGCGCCATCTGGAACCGAGTGGTAAGGCTCACACTTCTTCCCCCTCCTCCATGGGTCGGCTTTGAGAGTTGGTTCCCACAGAAACCATCGATGCCCAAACGTTTCCAGCTCTTGATCTGATCTCCGCCTGAAACAAACAGTGAATAGGATGGTTGTTCCAGAGTTTGGAGAAGTTCCTTTTCTTGGAAACTTCCCCCCCACCAGGGCTCCCAAAATGTCACTAGCCACAGGACATTTCCTCTTGAGAACAAATCATTGCCATATGTAAGTGGAAGGGTCACTTTACTGTTGTGAGTTGAAGCAGACAATCTGCAATCCACTGGGTTCTGAAATGGCGCAAATCAGTTCTGGTTTTCTGAGGGAAATTCTTAACTCCTGGGCAGGGAGATTCTGTTGATGTTTCAGCCACTGGTTTTCGAGTTTTTTAAACTCACCATCACTCCTCAGCTCCAACGCTCATTTAGGTGTTGGTAAATTTGCCCTTGACTTTGCAACCTGACTCGGTGACTCAGTAAATTAAACTGCTGTCTAGTCAGCTTTTCACTGCCATAAAGTGTAATATTATGTTTGCCTTCTTGGTGTGGCTCTTGAAATTGCCTCTATTTTTGCAGTCTTTGACTTGGAGGATACAGACGAATTCCTCTGTCATGGAGACTGGATCATTGAGCTCCAAAATGGGAGACCAGAAGGAGTCTCAACTTTTCACTATTGCCATGATCTCATTAGGCGGATTGAGGGACACCCCGTCTCTTACACCTGCTTTTCCCTGCTCTTTCCATCTATAATATGGTATTAAAATATGGAACTTCCTTATGGTGCTGTTGCAGCAAGTGAGGCAGTTTGAAAGCAACTTGCATCAAGCTTGTGGGGACCTTTGATGTTTTTTACTTCAGTGCCCAGAAGGCTGAGCCAGTATGGCTTAGGGTAAAGGATTGTGGGAGACGTAGTTCCAGATATCTGGAGGTTCCCCAGTTCTGTCTGCATTGTATTAAATGCTGGGTCTCATGGCTGCCAGATGGAGCATGGGGTCAGGCAGAAGTGAAATGGATGGTCTGGCTCAAATGCAGGATCAGGCAGGGACCGTGTTCTGTTCGTAACACCGGGTGACTGGGGGTCATTCCAGGTCACACACTGTTCATAATAACCCCTTTCCTAGTTCAAGGGGACTTTTAAACAGTAGTGATAAAATGTTCTTAGAAACAATTTTTTTTTGTCTGGAAGCAGCTTGTTTCTGACCCAGCAGGGCAGAGCTTCCATTTTTGCTTCATCCTAGCTTCCAGTACTCCATTGGTCTAGATGGGTGGGGTATAAATCTAATAAATAAATAAATTTCAGGACCAGCCATTACTGTGAACTCTGGAGGCTCATAGTGCAAAAACGACAATGCAGTTAATTTATTAGTGGTGTTTAAGATATAGATAGTATGTCAGTCTACATAGTAAAGAAAACTGGGGGGGGGATTGATTGTTGGAAATGTACTAGAGGAGAGCTTTGTGTATACCCTGGACTGCCAGAAAGATAAAACAAGTGGATCTTAGCCCAAATCAAAGTTGAACTATCTCTGGAAGCAGAAATGTTAAAAATGAGGCTGTCTTGTATTGAGAAGGCAGGATTGTCTGGAAAAGGCCATCATGCTGGGAAAAGTGGGAGGCATCAGGAAAAGAGGAAGGCCCAATGCAAGATGGACTGACTCTTTAAAGGAAGCCACAGGCTTTTGTTTGCAAGAGCTGAGCAGGGCTGTGGAGGAGAGGGCATTCTGGAGATCCCTCATTCAAGGGGTTGCCAGACGTTGGAGGCGACTTGATGGCATAGGACAACCTGTCAGTCAGACTCCAGATTCTCTTCCCTTTGGTAAACCTCACTCTGTCCCTCCCCAGTCAGCCTGTGCCAGTTGTTTTGTTTTTATTCCTAAGTACCGTTTGTTTTCACTTAATAATGCCAACTGGGATTAATTACTTTGTCTTGTTTCCTAAATATAGCTCAGTTGGCAAGGACATCTATAGGTTCTTGGCCAGGTGGGTGAGAAAGCGCTCCCTTGCACTCTGGGGATGAAATGGAAAGCAGCACTTTCCACAGCGGAGAGTCTGGCAAAGTTACTTTTTGGGGCACCTTTCACAAACTATCAGCCAGCACGGGGGCGATGGGGGTCTGTGTTATAGTCAAAGCTAGAGACTATATATAAAGCTGCAGCTAACTTCGCAGCAGAGACCGGGCGAGGTGTTCTTGTAGCTTCCCTCTGAACATTTGCAAATGTTTGAAATAAAGTGGTCTTTGGATGGGGAAGGATGAAAGGCATCCAGTCAGTGTGTTGATCATGCAGAGTGCGAGGGTGTTAACCTTGTCGTCCAGCTAAATTAGCCAAGGCTGGTGGCTGACAAATACAGACATCTTGGTGGCCCCTTGCTGTGGATTCACGGCTTGGAAGAAGCTGGAAGAATTCTTGTGCCTTCGTGTATTTAAAAATTTTGCTTCTCCTGTCTGTTTGCCTGGAGGTGATTCCTGCTCGCCCCAGACAAGTGACCCAGTATGCTGTAGAGAAGAAACAAACCTGGATGTTGGCTTCTGAACTTCTCTAGGGGGTGAAACAGAGCTTGGAAAATTAATTTAGCTTGGTCGGTCTGTCAGTCAACAACTATCATAATCCACTATCTCCAAACCAGAAAAACAACTTTTCAAAACTTTGCATTGACCATATTTCCCCGGTTCGGTGCTGTTCCTTTTCATCACCGCTGTGAAGGAAATACCCCCACCCTTGGCTTTGGCGTTTGCTCAGGGACCATGTGTGTGTTTTGTATCCTCAGGCAGAAAAGAAACACAGAGGCACGTGGTCCCTGAGCAAACGCCAAAGCCAGGGGTGGGGGCATGTTAAGGTCTGCATTTTGTTGCAGGAAACCGAGCCAATTCATTCAGCTTTTCACGAGTTTACGTTCTGGAGGATCTATGGGTCCACATATTGCTTCTCATTGTGGAAAAGGTGTGAAGGTTTTTTTCCCCTCATTGCTAACCTGCCCCTGACATTGTGTATATATATCTATCTATTTTTTTCTCCCCACGCCCCTGCCTTGCCCCCATTCCCGTTGCCTTCAACAGCCTTGTTACTTGAGAGATTGGGAGATGCAAGTGCACTTCCGAATCCACGGACAAGGAAAGAAGAACCTGAATGGAGACGGCTTTGCAGTCTGGTACACAAAAGACCGGATGCAGCCAGGTAAAAGTCTGTTGAGCACCTTAGCAAAACCCAAACCAGTTTTCCAAAGCATGCGACACTCACCATGCACATGGCAGGGGGGCACCCATCGGTTCCTCACTGGTTGCAGGTAGTCAGATCAGCTTGCTGTGGATGTTTGGAACATTTTACTTGGCCTGTTGCCTCTTCTCCTGTATTTGTTAAGTGTGAGATGTCTCTTGTCCTGTGTCGTAGCAGGCAAGGATTGAGCTAAAAACCACTTCAGACAGAGTTCCTGTCGTGAGAGGTTACTGGTCCATCTTTTTGTTCCTTGCAGGCCACTAAAACTTCCTTAACCTCTCCAGCTTGGTGCCTTCCAGATGTTTTTGATGACAGTGCCCATCACCCCCAGCCAGCAGCGCCAGTGGTTGAGGGCAGTGGGAGTTGTAGTCTTAACTTGTCTGGTAGCCACCAGACTAGCAGATATTATACTCATGGCCACAGCTTGGAGAAGATGCTTTACAGTGGTTTTAGTCCAGATGTTCTTGGACTACAACTCCCAGAAGCCTTCGCCACTAGCTATGCTGGCCAGGATTTCTGGGAGTTGTAGTTCAAGAACCTCTGGGTACCCCAGGTTTGGAGCCACTGCTTTAGAAGCTTCTGAATGAAAGACTCAGCTGCCCCATGCAGAAGACTGGTGCCCCCAGTTGAGGTGTTGTTGTGTGTTTTCTAAATCTCCCCCCAGCTGTTGCATTTCTGAAGGGCAAAGTTAGTTCTGGTTTAAATCAAAAGGAGGCAACATCATTAGACTCAGGATTGACCTTCTGATCAACTAACTGTCTGCTGCCATGGCAAGAAATATAGATATTCCTTTGTTTCATAGCAGGAGTAAAGTTTGCTAGGTTTGCTCAGTGGTTTAAGTCTCTGGCTGCAGAGCCGGAGGTTGGGAGTGTGATTCCCCCACGGGGCCTCCTGCGAGAAGGGTCAGCCTGTGTAACCTTGGGCCAGCTGCACAGTCCTAGAATTGTCCTATGGGTACCTTCCCAAGTTGGCGGTTCTGCACAGTTTTAATTCCCGGCTGCTGAAGGGAAACGTGCTTCTCTGCCTCCTGGTGGTTCTTCAATAAAGACATGGGACTCTTTTGGATCTCAGCTGGAGTTTTTTGTTATTCAGATCTCTCTGGGCCACAAGCTTCTAAGCGATCAAGGTGGGAAGGGCTGAGTAATCACATTTCCAAAAATGTTGTGTAAACGGGAAGGTGGGGGTCTGGCTGGCTGGCTGGTGGGGTTGGGGGTGGAACTACCCTGGTCCCTGCTGCGGAGTAGGGAAAGCCGTGGCTTTGTTCCAAGTGAGGAAGCCCATGGGGTGAACCCGCTGTTGTCTGTTCTAGGCCCCGTCTTTGGGAGCAAGGATAACTTTCTCGGCCTGGGTGTGTTTGTAGACACGTATCCAAACGAGGAGAAGCAGCAGGAGGTAAGGGGGCTCTGGGGATGCTGCGGTTTGGGAGGGGTGGGATCATGCCTTGTCGACCTTCCGGGCCTGTTGGTTGCAACCCGTGGAGAGGAACTTTTTGGGGACCCGATCCGGCACACTAAGTTCTTCTGCTCCACAGTGAGGTCAAAAGGCTGGACTCAGTGCATCTGACCCGGGGTGGGGCTTTTTTTAACAGTCTAACAGCATTTAATAGGATGATTGGGTTAGGGATGGTCATGTTCCCTGCAGGTCTCCTCCTCCAGGGGGAAAACTCAAATGGAAATCATTTTCTTTTGACCTGCATTTTATTCCTAAGTTCAAGGATAAGGAATAATTTTCAGTCCCTAAAACTCATGGACCAATGGAGGAGGAAAGAGAAAGCAAAGGGAAGAGAGGATCAGGAGCTGGGAGATATAGAAAGAAGTGGGGTAATGACCCTAGAAGGAAAATAGGAAAAAATTATAAAGCTGGTGCTTTCCACCCACAGCCAGTCAAGCCAGCCCCCTGTGTGGGCTGAGGTATTCTGGATGTTATCCTTCAGAAAAAGAAACTTTTTTTCCCTTTGGTTGGGATTTTCCAGTCTTTGGGCAGCTGTAGTCCCTTCATTTTTCTGAATTAAAACAGGTGACACCCCCCTCCCCTCTGCTTTTGTGGGGTGAAACAGGAAGCCTGTGGTCCTCTGGGTGCTGCTGGATTCCAAACCCATCCTCTCTCACCTTCGGCCGTGCAGGGGGAGGTTCTGATGGGAGCCTGGCCCCCAGCCTGGCTTGGAAGGTCACAGGCTTTCTCCTCCCTGCTTCATGCCCAAGAAGGTTCACTTTTAGGTTTTGGGTCTACTTGCCTGAGTTAAATCCCTGCTCCTCCCTGCTTTTTTTGAGTAGCGGCCTTGAGCATGGCTGCAGATTGGAATTGAGAGCACGGACTCACGCAGAGATGCACCGGGCAGCCTCTTATGAAGACTGGGTCGCTTTATGACATCTCAAGAGTCAAGAAGAACATGAACAGTCTAGTTTTAGGAGATGCAGCAGCAACCTGCATGTTTCCAGTAGAGACCTACTTGGACAGAGCCAAAACCAGAGCAAGGAGAGATGGGGAGCTCTCTCTGTCTCTCTGCAGTTGAGTCTGCGGTCTTCGGAAAGTTTTGAGTGGAATGAGCTCGGCAGAAAGACTGACAGGCATCGGTTCCTGTTGCAACATATTTGTCTTACGATGGCAAAGCGCAATGCAATGGGCTTTGAGGGAACATTTTGAATGATATTTTTAACATGCTTTTAAAAAACGGCACTTTTAATCCCTGTGAAATAATTTGAGTCCATCTGTTGTAAATCATTTTGCAAGCCGTGCTTGGACAGAAAAGGGAGAAGCAGTTGCTTTAAATCATGAACGGCAGGTGAGAATACACGGCTGCTAAGTCAACAGGTTAGAAAATGTGTTTGCCCTGTTTTGCGCTTGGAAAAAAAACCCTGCGATTCCTTCTGTAGGGTGTGTTTGCCTGTGTGAGAGGGGGAGAGAATGAGGAAGCTGGGATTCTAGGTGATTGTGATGGTGGAGGTGTTACTTCAGTGCGTAAATCTCAACCAATCCTCGTGTATCTCATGTATCCTGTCTCTCCCTGGCTGTGTATGCCCAGTGTACATGTTAAGCCTTCCCAAGAGCAAGGGAAGGCTGGTGTGATTGTTATTGTGTATGTCTGGAAGCTGAGACAGGGAGATTTTCTTTCCCACCACCTAGATCAGCGCTAAGCCACCTGATGTATGACTGTCTTTTGCTTCTGTCCCCCTCCCCCCCCCCCCGTGCTTTGCAATAACTGTTATGGATTCTCAGGCCCAGAAGAGGAGGTATTCGGCAGGAAACCAGGTACTCAACCATGTTTTTCCCACTTGTCCCGTGCTTGTAGGATCTGCTATTCCCGCTCGGCTTCTTCCTCTCCCATTCGTCTTCGAGTTTTAAATAGCCCCCTTCCAGGCTGAAGGAACTGCAGCGTTTGGAGCCAGAGAGACCCCTGCCGGACATCAGTGTGCTTTGTTGGCCCGCTCTTTGTCTCTTGCTGTTGCTTTTCTTTTGCTTTGTTCCTTTTATTTCAACCAAAGAAGAAGGGGGTTTGGGGAAATGGCTGTCCTTTGAACAGAGTTTTCCCCTCCTTTTTTAAAAAAATACACTTGCTTCAGGACAGTAGATGAGTACCGGGGGGGTGGTTGTGTGTGTCCCGAGTTCAAGTCTCCCATGCTGTTCAAACGCAGTCGAGCTGGTTTGCTAGCAATAGAGCCAGTGACCTTTTGGGAAAGCAGGCCGACATGTGTTTCAGGCCTTAACTGGCGAAATTCAGGCGTCCTGGCAGGAAAAACCTTTGCCGAGCCTGATCACCTGTGGCATGCATGCGCGCGCGCACACACGACCGTCCCTGGCATAATTCAGGAGCCTCTTCAGGGACCTCACTTGTAACTCCTGTCTCTGGAGAGATTGTGATTGTTCTCTGGCCGCCGAGCCGCTTTGCTTCTCGAAAGTAGAACCTCCCCGCCTGCTTCTGCTGGGTCACGTTTCCGTCCTGCTCGGCTGCGTGCATGCTTCCTCCCTCTTTTGGCCAACGAATGTAGCTAGACCTCCTGAGGGCATCCGGGGCCGAGATGGGCAGCTGACCTGCCTCCCCTTGTCTTCTCCTCCAGCGCGTCTTCCCCTACGTCTCCGCCATGGTGAGTAACGGTTCGCTAGCCTACGACCACGACCGGGACGGGAGACCCACAGAGCTCGGTGGCTGTACGGCGATGGTGCGCAACTTGAACCACGACACCTTTCTGGTGATCCGCTACGTGAAGAGGAGGCTGACCGTAAGTGTCTCTCTCTTGCCACTTGGGGCCTTTGCCCGCTGGCCAGGTGCAGCCTCAAGGAAGAGCTGATGGGCCCCGATTCTCCTCTTTCCCAGGTCCTGCTGGATATCGACGGCAAGCACGAATGGCGAGATTGCGTTGATATCCCTGGAGTCCATTTGCCCCGAGGATACTACTTTGGTGTGTCATCCGTCACTGGAGATCTCTCAGGTATATATTGATTTAGTTTCCATCTCATTTTTCTCTCCTAAACCTTGAAAAGGGTTGCTGTAAGTCAGAACTGACTTGATGATGGCACAGTCATGATGCTGGGGGACCCAAGACAGCTTTCAAAAAATATTTAAAAATGACAAGTCATGAAAAATATGCTAATTAAAAATTTAAAACTATGGCATAGCTCTGCTGGAAAGGACTGCTTTCTGCCCCCCTTTTCTTGGGCCCAGACGACTCACCACCTTCCCCCTTCTGCCCTAGATAATCATGACATCGTTTCCCTGAAGTTGTACCAGCTGACCGTCGAGCGAACACTGGAGGAAGAGAAGCGGGACAAGGAAGTCTTCCTCCCGGTTGTGGACAACATGAAGCTGCCCGGATGTAAGTAGGCACAGGGTGGCGAAGAAGGGGCTGGAGCCGCTGGGAGGTTGTGTGTGTCCCCCCCCCCCACGAAGCGCTTTTCAGGCCACTGGCCTGGCTAGGGTAGTGCTTGAGACTCGGGGGGGGGGACAAGGGAGCACAGTGGCAGCTTGCTTTGGGAGTCCCAGCATTGCCCGGCAGGATTGGCAATGAAGGTGGTCTGGACTCCGCTGGAAGGAGCCTCCACCCACAGACCCTGCGGTGCTGTCGTCTCACGCCAGGCTAGGACTTTGGGTGAAGGAACCACAGGGGAAGGCTTGTAACCTGGTGGTGCAGCACAAATGTTGCACACCAGCGTCCCCATGTTCACTGACGTCACCGAGGAGGGCTGGGAAGAAGGCCCCTCTGGAGAGCCCTGGCCTCACACGCTAGCTTTCCCCCTCCCAGTGAAATTCAGGCCCCTGGCCCATCCTGCGCTGGGCTTCCCGAAACCTCAAAACCAGGTTGGCGCTCCCTAGGGATTTCAGGATGGTGCCGTCCAGAAATGGATTTACGCCGCGGCCCTGAAGATGCTGGCGGCTCCCTGTCTGGGTTGGTGGTCAGCAAGGAATGGATACGGAGTTCCCTCCTGCTCCTGGATAATCCTCCCCAAAGGAGCAGCGTGGCTACTCGAGCGCTTCCCCGTCTCTGCCTCTTCCCCTTGCAGTGGAGTCTCCGATGGAGCCCATGAGCGGCCTTGCCCTCTTCCTGATCGTCTTCTTCTCCCTGGTCGCCCTCGTCTTCGCCATCGTGATTGGCATCATCGTCTACAACAAGTGGCAGGACCAGAGCCGGAAACACTTCTACTGACCGGGAAGCGTCATCTCCTGTTCCCGGTTTTTGTTCTCTTTTTTTCTTTTTGGCCTGCCAGATGACCGTTGGTTTTGTTGGCGTGGGCGAGGGCCCCATGTGCCGCCGGCAGGTCTCCAGGAACCTTCCTGCAAGATTGCTGCTCCATGCTCGAGTCTTAAAACGATTTAACAGAGGGTCTCGTGAAGTGCTGGTGTCTTTTCTGGTGGGGAGAGCAGCCTTACCTCTCCTCTCTACTTCGCTTTCTCTGCCTCGAGGCGCCAGCACTGGCATTTCAACCCGACTCGGTGATTAATTATAGACATATCCTTGACGTTGCAGTGCAACATGGACTTTGGTTTCTCTGCAAGCCAATCAGGGAGACATGGAGCCAGTCTTCTGCCGTCAGTGGCCTCCGCTGCCCTTCTGGGTGGTTGGCTGAAAGTCATGGGCTTTGGTTTGGCCAGCACCAAGGTAGCAACCCATGGCGAAATATGGGAGAAACCATGAGGTGTGAATCCTGACGTTCTGGGTGGGATGTTTTACTGGGATGCCTTAACTAGCATTGGGGGAAGGATGTGGAACCTGTGGGCCTCCTGGGAGGTTGTTAGGACTATGACACCCATAATCCCTTGGGCTGGGGCAGCAAGGGCTGATGGGAGTTGCAGTCCAACATCACTTGGTGGACCACGTTGCCCAACCAGGATAGAGGCAAGTCTTTGTCTCGGGAAGGAAAACCAGACAACCTGTCGCTGTATGGAATCAGGACCACTAATCTACAATCGGTAGCCCAAATACTGCTTGAAACCGTGCGTAGAAGAGTTAAGGGTCACAGGAAAAACGGAACGAAACACTAGGCTGCTGAATAAACAAATGTGAATTTCTTGGTCTCCATGATGTTAGGAAAATCAGCCTCTTTTTCGACCTCCTTTTCTGCTCTGGAGAGATTACTGGCTGATCTGGGGGGGGGCAAACTGTTGCATGTAATGTGGCTTTTGGTTTCTGCAGTCACCCCCCCCCCCCGTGTTTTCCTGCCTGCGTGAGAACATCACAACGGGGGTCCTGCCTCTGAGAAGGATTGCCATATGGAAATCCACATTTCTCGTACACTGCAGGAACTTGGTCAGTCAGCTGTCCTGCTGGCCGTGTGAGTGAACTGTGAGAATGATGACTTTTGACCTTTCTCAAAAAACAAAACAAAACGCGGACCTTAACTGTTCCAATAACTTTCTCTCTATAACTATGAAATCTCTCTCTCTCTCTCTCTCTCTGTCTCCGTCTCCCCTTGGATGGATTTTTCCTTTTCTCAGTTGCCAGATTAATACTGTGCACACGTGTGTCCTTCAAAGTTTTCTTGGATGGATTTTTCCTTTTCTCAGTTGCACATGTGTGTCCTTCAGAGTAAGGGCTTAATCCATTGAAGGGTTTTAACCAGTAAAGGCACGCATGTAGGCATCTGTAGAGCGCTAGCCGTGGGGCTGGTTGACCATGGGTGGCAACCAGAGAGAAGGATGAAGGTTTGCTTGGCTGCACACTCTGTTGCGCCCGGAGGGACCCACTGTAGCCACTTACCTGGGAGTAAATCCCACTGACCTCAGTTGGGCTAGCTTTTGAGTAGACAGGATATAGGCAGGCCCAGCACAGATGCCATTCTAAACACACTAAAGGAACTCTCCCCTGCCCTGCATCAGTTCTGCCAACCAGGGGATCATGGGAGTTAACCTGGGTGTTTTTGGACTGCAGTTCCCAGAAGCCTTTACTCCTAGGATTTCTGGGAGCTGCCGTTCAAGAACACTTGGGTTACCCAAGGCTGGCAACTATTGCTTTATATGATGCCAAGTTTGGAAAAACTGGATCAGAGAATAAGGCCTCTTATCTCCCAAGGACAGACAGATAGATAGATAGATAGATAGATAGATAGATAGATAGATAGATAGATAGATAGATAGATAGATAGATAGATAGATAGATAGATAGATAGATGAATGAAATCAGCAGTTTGTCTATAAATATTTGCCACCGTGCTTCTTGAACAAACTTGGCTTAGGTTTCTTTGGCATTTTATTTTAGATAGATAGATAGATAGATAGATAGATAGATAGATAGATAGATAGATGAAATCAGCAGTTTGCCTATAAATATTTGCCGCCGTGCTTCTTGAGCAAACTAGGCTTAGGTTTCTTTGGCTTTGCATTTTATTTTAGTCAAAAGAACATGGATGCATATTCATTCCAGGGCTTCAACCTCATTGCCCTGTGGCTGTTTTCCCCTCCATCCCAGCTCAGCCCCTGCTAACCTGGGGTTGAAATCCAGTGTCTTTCCCTACTAAGAGAGGAAGGTGAGGGAAGCAAGGGGGCTTCAATGGAAGGGGAAAGTAATTTGGAAGTAGCTGGGCTCCCTTCCTGCAGTCTCTCTAAGCGAGACCACCCTCGCTCGCGGAAAGAGGAGCGGTTTCTTTGGCTGCAGGACATCACGGATGGCATGAGACAGCAGGGTTCTGGAAAGTGCTGGACTTCTGCCTTTGCTAGGGAGCAGATGTGCTATTTCTAGGGCGCTGCTGGGTTTTTCTTACGTGGTACTGTAGTTTTCTTGGGCACTGGTATTGTTTTCTTAGGCACTGCTGCAGTTTTCTTGGGTACTGGTATTGCTTTCTTGGGTGCTGGTATTGTTTTCTTGGGCGCTGCTGTTTTTTTCTTGGGTGCTAGTATTGTTTTAGGCACTGCTGCAGTTTTCTTGGGCACTGGTATTGCTTTCTTGGGTGATGGTATTGTTTTCTTGGGCACTGGTATTGCTTTCTTGGGTGCTGGTATTGTTTTCTTGGGTGCTGCTGCAGTTTTCTTGGGCACTGGTTTTATTTTCTTGGGCGCTGGTATTGCTTTCTTGGGTGATGGTTGTGTTTTCTTGGGCGCTGGTATTGTTTTCTTGGGCGCTGGTATTGTTTTCTTGGGCGCTGGTATTGTTTTCTTGGGCGCTGGTATTGCTTTCTTGGGCACTGGTTTTGTTTTCTTGGGCACTGGTTTTGTTTTCTTGGGCGCTGGTATTTTCTTGGGCACTGGTATTTTCTTGGGCACTGGTATTGTTTTCTTGGGTGCTGGTATTGTTTTCTTGGGCACTGGTATTGCTTTCTTGGGTGATGGTATTGTTTTCTTGGGCACTGGTATTGCTTTCTTGGGTGATGGTATTGTTTTCTTGGGCACTGGTATTGCTTTCTTGGGTGATGGTTTTGTTTTCTTGGGCGCTGGTATTGTTTTCTTGGGCGCTGGTATTGTTTTCTTGGGCGCTGGTATTGCTTTCTTGGGTGCTGGTATTGTTTTCTTGGGTGCTGCTGCAGTTTTCTTGGGCACTGGTTTTATTTTCTTGGGCGCTGGTATTGTTTTCTTGGGCGCTGGTATTGTTTTCTTGGGTGCTGGTATTGCTTTCTTGGGCGATGGTATTGCTTTCTTGGGCGATGGTATTGCTTTCTTGGGCAATGGTATTGCTTTCTTGGGCGCTGCTGTTTTTTTCTTGTGAGCAGGTGGTCTCGTATGAGCTGGTGCCAACTTCTTGGGAGATGGTGGTGGCAGTTCGGGAGTCGGCACGGTTGGAGCGGCCTCCGGTGCTAGCGGTTCAGGGGTCGCCTTCTCATGCTTCCCCCAAGGCAACTGAAAATTTAGGTCTTTCATTGGGTTGATCAACTTCATGGCCAGGTAGCCCTGAGAAGCAAACGGGAAAGAGCTGGAACACCGGCGATGGTGTTGGTAGTGATCACAGAGGACAGACCCAGACCTCCCCCTTCCCCGATTAAATCCAAATTCGGATTCATTCTGTCTGTCTGTCTTTCGTTTCCTTCTCCCTCTGGCTATGGAAGGATCCTGATCCTTTGTTTTTGGGAATCCAAACCGTTCCGGCGCCACCCCTCTTCCCCACCAGCACACTCACGGGAGCGGCATAGATGAACGCCGCCAGCAAGAGGAGCACGCAGACGCAACACAGGAAAATCAGGAGTTTCCACTTGCTCTTTTGCCATATGATGAAGTGGAGGCTCTTCAGGGGGGCTGTGAACCACAGGAAAGAGGTCTCCGGCCTCCTGGTGGTGGGGAGGAGAAAGAGAAGCCATCAGGTGGCATCGAAGGCAGATGCTCCTTCGTAACCTCCCCACCCTCGGCTTCCTTGAGCCAATGGCACAGCCAAGGGCGGGCACAGCCGGTGGGGCCCTGGCGTTCTTGGAGAAGCTGGCCGTGCCCGCCGGCGAGGCTTGCCGTGGCGACTTGACTTTTCCTTTCCCTGCCAGCGGCTGGAGTTTTGCCATGGTCCTGCTCCGAAGGGTCCGATCCCCATCTGATTCCAGAGGCTAAGGGTCTCGTTTTGTTTAGTGAGAGACCACCGGGGAGCGTCGGGGGCCGTGGCATAGGGAGGGACAATCCCTCAGTGGTCACAATTGACCAGATAGGCGGGGAATGAATGAATGAATGAATGAATGAATGAATGAATGAATGAGTGGCATTGCATGCCTTTTGCACGAGAAGGCTGAGGGTTCAGTTCCTCGTGTCTCCCAAGTAGAGCTCGGAAGGAGTCCTGCTTGAAGGCCCCAGCGGGTGGCTGCCAGTCGGTGCCAACAATAGTAGGTACAATGAATCAAGGGTCTCGGAGAGCGGAAGGCAGCTTTTATGCTCCATCTGGCTGTCCTGCATCAGTGTCCCTGGCCTGGCATCATTCCGGATCATGCAGGGATACTCAACGGGTATCTAGTGTCAGCCGCTGGCGAGAGGGCCGCTGGGCCAGCCACTCGGGCTGTGCTGCCATAAAGCAAGAGGCCACCTGATCGTACTCCCCTCGGGGCCTCCCTCGACTCCAGAATCCTCTTGAGGCCCCTCTGCCTCCAAAGCAGACCGGCTGCTGGATTGGTAAAAACATGCGGTGGCGCAGCCCTCGATGGCCCTTTCTGCCTTTGTGAGGTTTTCAGGTACAACCTCCTCCATCCCTTGTTATGGGTAAGGGATGATGGGAGTTGTAGTCTGGTAGGTCTGAATGATGTCGGGTTGAGAATGGCTTCTGTACGGGGGGGGGAAGGGAGGGTGTTCCCGCCACGCCCTGCGCCTCCATGTCGCCGTTCCGGCAGAGCCCCTCCCAGGCGTCATGATCTTACTCAGGGGGCTTCAGGAATGGGTTCATGTTGGGCTCCTCTCTTCCTTTCCCAGCAGGACGCTCTTCAGCCTCTGCCTCGCTCAGCAGCTCAAGTGTCATTTCAACCTTGCCCTAAAGAAGCAGAGAGGCAAGAACAATGACGGGGAACCTTCTTCGGTAAAATTGGCATCTGGCGTGACTTAGGTTTTGTGTCCCAACTGCTATCATGGCTAGCTTGATAACAGCCTCGGAGCCAAGAAATCTGTTTGGTGTGTGTGTATGTGCGTGTTCTCTAGTGGCGTGGTGCTAAATTTGGACTACAGGAGGTTGGATGCCCCCCTGTACATGTTTGCTTTCATAAACATGTTCCCCAAAGAGAGGCCAGCAATGCTGGCAGATGTTTAATCCAGACCACTAAGCCTCTTCTAGCTGTATTCATCTCCTCCCAGGGCAGGTCTTTTGTTAAGCGAATGGGTCCAGATTGCACCCTGGCAGCCTTGCCCATGGCGTGCCCTGTCCCCCGGTTTTGTCTCAACTTGCCGACACCCGTGGCTTGTCCTTCTCGAAGACGATGCAGGGCCACCAGCCCCTCAGGTTTTTTTGGGCGAACAAGGAGACGCGCTTCGGTTTGTGGTGACCAAAGAAAGAGGAAGCGGGAGTGGCCTTGCTGTCCTCCAGGAGCATCTTCACCGTGCAGTCGCGAGGCCGTTTGGCCGGCCGGGGGATGGAAGTCAGGTTCAACTCCAGAATGCCTGCAAACAGAACACGGTGCTCAGCCCTGTCCCAGATGCCAGGACCAGAAGGTTCGCCCAGGATAGGGCCAGAGTGACACGACCCGCCTCCCTTTGCTCCAAGCAGCTTCCCACATGCGTGGCTGAAATTTCACAAAGGATTATCCCAGACTTTTATCGCATTCTTGCAGAATCTGCTTCTGCCAGGTGAGGGGCAGGAACCATATTGGGTTATGGGATAAGTGGTTGCCAAGTTGCCTCTGACTTCTAGAGTTTCCAGGGCATGTGAGATAAATATGCTTTTACCAAGGACACTCCCCAATGAATTTCCGCAGCCGAGCAGGGATTTGAACTCAGGTTGCCTCACCGTGGAAGACGGTTCACAGAGCCCAGCATGCTAATGCTGAGCTTATGGCTATGGACTAGGAAGAAGAGCTTTGGAAATGCCTACTGAGATAAAAATGTAAAAAATGAACATTTGTTGCTCCAAGAAATCCAGTCAGTGATAGTGCAGGATGTGAAACTTAAGCTGATTTACAGAAACCCCGACAGCTTGCTTCTAAGGTTTGGGGAAAACATCCCATATTCCTTATTCTGCCCAGAATCCCGAAGGCCCCCAGCCCTGGTTCAGGAATTCTTCATACCTAGAAAATCATCCGCCGATAATTTGTCATTATCCCAGATCTGGATAATAAGTTTGGGAGGCACTTTCTGCATCGTCTCATCCAGGCTCCAGAAGTGTTGCTGTGAATTGGAGGAAGAGACACACCTGATATGGGAGAGTCACAATCGGCATCAAGGACTGGTCCGGTCTGATGGTACGTATCACTGCTGAAAGGTTGGCTTGGGCGGACCCCTTTCCCAAGGAAACCCATAGCCTTTGCTTGTTGTTGTTTAGTTGTTTAGTCGTGTCCGACTCTTCGTGACCCCATGGACCAGAGCACGCCAGGCCCTCCTGTCCTCCACTGCCTCCCAGAGTTGGGTCAAATTCATGTTGGTCGCTTCGATGACACTGTCCAACCATCTTGTCCTCTGTCATCCCCTTCTCCTCCTGCCTTCACAATAGCCTTTGCTAGCCTATAACATTTACAGGAGCTCACCTAGACACAAATTAAATAAATAAATACCTAGGCAGGCTAAGAATTTACGGTCTTTAAATACAAACAAACGTTATGTCCCCAGTTTTCATAAAGCCTCCCTGTTTTTGTCAGTTCTTAACCGTCCAAGATGATCTATCTAGTGATCTTTCTGAAAAACTTTCTCTGGAACACCCTTTTTCTTGAACAGAGGGTTTGTTTTAACTCCTCTGCACGTGAGCACCCACATCAAACACGAGGCCTTTAGAGTCATCGTCTTAAAAATTTTAAAAAGGGCCGCAGAGCTCATTTCAGCCTCTGAGCTGCTACCCACCTTCTTGGTGAGGATGCAGACCTGCTCCATGGGCAGGTAGTCCATGGTGAACACAAAGCGCCAGTTAAAATTGCCTTCTCCTGTTAGAGACCTGTAGTGGATGTCGGTCTTCTGCTTGTCTTCTTCCAGACCATCCAACCACCTAGAGCCAGGACAAAAGAGGAGCAGGAGTGTTTCTGGATATCACTGCTTGGACGTCACCTCTTGGTGAGGATGCAGACCTGCTCCATGGGCAGGTAGTCCATGGTGAACACAAAGCGCCAGTTAAAATTGCCTTCTCCTGTTAGAGACCTGTAGTGGATGTCGGTCTTCTGCTTGTCTTCTTCCAGACCATCCAGCCACCTAGAGCCAGGACAAAAGAGGAGCGGGAGTGTTTCTGGATATCACTGCTTGGACTTCACCCTATAGATTTTGGGGCACACTTCAGCTATGCCTGTTGCATTCTCTAGTCCGACAGGAAGCTGGCATAGCCCACTACTTCCTGGTCCAGCACGATCCTCATGCAACACAGAGCGACCACAACCAGCGTCTCCTAGCATCGCCTGTTGTGTTGGAGGCAACCCCATCTTTTCTCAGACTTCCTGCAAAGGCAGAAGCTGGGGACCTTGATTTCAAGATTCTGGTGCCTCTGTTCTAGATTTCAGACTCAGTTTAACAAGAGTTACCCGAGGAGCTGAATCCTATTCACCAAACAAATTCAGCACCTCGGAGAGCATCTTGGAAGGTGAAATTGACCCAGGAAGGAGACGCCACTTCTGCAAAACTAGATCCACCAACCTCTGCTCACAAGGTTGATTGTATTTTGGCTGCTGCTGATGTATTATAACACTGGCTACTCTGGTCTGTGACATGCTCTATTAGTTTGTTGCTGTTACCTGGTGCTGTAAGGGACTCAAAGAGTTGGTGGAGGTATAGTAGCAGCAATGAAGCCCAAAGCTCTGGTAAGCCGAAGTGTCCCAGTGTCATAGCAATCCTTCTTGTTGCTATTAGCTAAATTGCTGTGATCTAACACAGAGACAAGAAGGAACAGCAGGATTTGGGGAAGGAGGTGTAAAAGAAGTCGAGAACCCAAGAAAGAGAGTGATCCAAGGGTTCTGAGAAGCAAAACCGGAAGGGCTTTCAAATGGAAGGAGAGGAGAGGAATGAAAAGCGATTATACTCCTCCAAAGTCTTCCCTCTCTCAGGCTGCAAACCAGACATTACAGATCGCCAATCATTAGAGCAAGGCATTCTTTAGGGGCTGAGAACCACTGACTGTCACAGCAGGAATGCTTCAAACTTTTCACCTCGCCTAGGATTTGCAAACTAGCTTGCTTTGTTTTCTGATTGGTCATCGGGAGGTGAGCATGGGCTTCATTTGCATGTAGGGTTCCTTTATCAAGAAGGGCTTCAAGAATCATGTCTCCAGAACACTGAGGGGGTCCCAGTTCTCACGGTGGGCTGCGCCGACCAGATGATGGTGCCCTCAGCAGAGACTGAGGACAAGGTGTTGCAGCAATAAGTTCTGGATTCAAGAAGAGATCACCAAGTTTTTTAACTAAAGGCCTCATTTTTTAAAAAAAAATGGCTTTGGTTATTGCAAACCAGATTTTAATTTTTTTGCAGGAAGGCAATGCCTCTTTATATATTTTTTTAAAATGAATGAACGACTTCTTTAAACGAGTGATGTTGCACCAGGCAGGGAATCCCAGAACAGGCACCTGAAACGGAATCTGGTAGCAGATCTCCGGTTGGAGGTAAGATCAGTGGTTGCAACTGGCGGATCTATCCTTCCACCAAGGGGATCCTTCAGTTCACGCATGACCTCGTCAGCAAACATACCCTTTCACGTAGATGTCACTCATCCGGTCTCCGAAAATGTTGGTGTCCTCCAGATCCACATCTTTGGTGTTCCAAATGATGCAGCGGAGTTCGTAGCTAGAGAGGAGAAGGGCAGGAACATCTGGGTGCAGGAAAGATGTTCCTGGGCTGGCTGAGCACCAGACCCCATATGGTTCCCACGGGGTTTGTCCGTTTTCGAGGTGGGCAGCCAGAAGCAGCCTTTGCCGTCTGTGCTCCAACCCCTTCCTCCCGCTTGACCGAAAACCTTACTGGACAGGGGCATGTTTTTGCAGCCAGAAGGAGCGCAGGAGCAGCCGTCGCCTACCTCTTGGGCTTCCTCGGCGTGATGTCGAAAGGAGGTCCCGGTTCACCCAAGTGTTCTGGGAAGATGTCGACCCACATCTGCACTTTACCCTAGACATGAGAGAGGCCTGCAACTTAGCACAGCCGCTGTAAGGCTCACAAGCCTACCTGGTAGGGAGGGCGGTCCCTGCTTCCAGTATGAATTCTCCAACCCAGTCCCAAGCGGTGGAACCCCATTGGCCTGCCTCTCCGATAGCCGGCACCAAAAGGTAGTTCAAGGTGGCCAGGATGAGTGCCAAATTGACCCTTCCTGCCTGCAAGGGGTAACGGTGGGGCTTTTTCAGAGTGGGGGTGCTTTTTCCTTCTTAATGTCTTGGTGATTTTCTGGCCCTCTAATGTTTCTCTTGTCTTGCATCGTATAGAGACTTTCTTAGGGCTTTTGGTTCCTTTCCATTCCCCACCCCCACCCCCACGGAGCAGTGATTGATTTATTTGTTAGTCTTGCTTGGGTTGCGAGATGGCGTGCCATGCTGCTACGTTGAAGCAAGGTTTAGTTATATTGCTTGTCGGTTTGTTTAGCTGTTTGATTTTGTTACTATCTATTATTTTCTGTTATGTTGTGATTTTGTCCAGAGGAGTGGCTTCCACCAGACAGGTGGTATAAAAATCAAAAGTTGAAAGTCAAGATGGTACACCACATTGCCGGGCAGCATGCTAACCCGGTTGCAAGGCTGGAGTGTCCTGCAGAGAGAATCCAGTCCTCCCTCTCGCTGCCGTCCACGCTCCGTCTGCTGCCTGAGGCCAGCATGTCAGGAGAGCGCCAGCCCCGATCAAAGCAATGGTGAGAAAAATACCAGAAAGCAACAGGGCGAAAGGGGGGGGGGCAGGATTCCAGGCCTGTGATGATGATGACATTACCTGGTCAATCCCAGGACAGGCGGGGTTCTTCAGGGTGCGGGTCTCGATGTGTTCGGGCACCTGCCCGCAGGTGCGGAGGAGGTGGAGAGCCAGGCGCTCCTTCGCTGGGCCCAGGTAGCCGTGGGATGGCTCTTTGGTCTCTGAAAGGCAGCAGAATCCCTTTGGGGGGGAGGATCGCAATTTGGCCTTCAGGCCCCACCCGTGATACTCTGCTAGCGCCATCGTCTGTCACCGGAAGCCTCCTGTCAGCCCAGGAACTGCGATGGGTGGGAAAGGGGAAGGGCAACAAGCCATGCTGAGCAATGGTCCTTTCTCGTCTCGGTCAACGACCAGAAGGGCAATTAGAGGAGGGGGCAGGCGTCGGCTAGGGCCCCACCCTCCCTGCTTTCCCCCAAGAACATCCGGTTGCTCTAAACGCCTCTCCTCCCTCCCTGCACATCTCTTTCCTGGGCTGAGGATGGAAGGAAAAGACATTTTCTCCACAGGACTGCATTTGCCTCAAGGCCTTGAGTTGCCGACCCTCTCCTTCGCCATCGTGCCAAGGATCAGGGATCCAAAGAGTGAAGGGTCCATGTTCCTACCTCACATCGTGCCAAGGATCAGGGATCCAAAGAGAGAAGGGTCCATGTTCCTACCTCGGCCTCCCTTCTCTCTCTCTCTTACAAGCAGAGTAGAATAAGTTACTTCTGGGGGTCTGAGAAGGACAGAATCCTCCCACCACTGAGCACTGTGGTCTCCAAAAAGTAACTTTCCCAAGCCTTGCCCCCCAGGAAGCTTTTCGAATCCTTGTACGATTCTCTCTCTGGCTCGGCGGCAGTTTCTTGGCATCCCCACGGCCGCCTCTCTGCCCTCTCCCAGTGGACCCACTTCTCCCACTCACCGTGCCCGTCTGGCGGAATAGGCGGCTCCCATTCCTTTCCCTCATGGCCTTGCCTGCTCCTAGGGGAGGCACCCGAGGAGGCCGGCCAACAGGTCGTGGTGGCGGCTTCCTTCCCCTTCCCCTGCTCCTCTTTGAGAGGGAAACGCTGAGGCACTCACCGAAGGTGGACAGCTGGTAGGTCCTGCCCATGAAAAAGGCACGGCTCCCGTCTTCCTCGATCTCCGGCCGAGGCAGGTTTTTCGTCCGGGCATAATTTTCCAGGAGTTCGCTAGGGAGAAGTTGGTCCCGCCACTGACTGGGCCCGCTTCTGCATTTTTTTGGGAGGGGGGGAAGAGAGAAGGAGGTCGCTCAAGGACTGAACCCAGGGCAGTTCAAGGGGAGAAGACCAAATTCTCCAAGTGGCCTCAAAGGCATATTATCCCTCTTCCCCCCCCCCCAATTCTTCCTCTTTCCTTACACACAGTAGGTCTGTGGGAGGCCACAGTTTGCTCCGTAACGAGAGAGGAGCCGGTTTTCCAGGTCGATGGTGGTGTCGCCGATGTTATCATCGGGAGGGAAAATGTCAAAGTCGTAGAATGAGATCTTCAGGTCCTTTTCCACTGGGAGGTAGCACAAGAGTTCGTACATCCTGTCGGGAAAGAACGACAGAGGAGAGGAGAGATGTCGCTCCGTCCTGCTCCCAGAGCTGATTTGAATCGAAATGAAATTGACTTGTTTCTTTGTTGAGACTTTTTTACACACACACACACACACACACACACACACACACACATATTGAGTGGACAAGCCACTCTTCTGGGCGGCCTCAAAAAATACAGTAATAATAACAAGACTGTAGAAACAGAATTTAAAAAAACTACCTTATCAAAACAAAACAAAACAAAAACCTTTCGTAAAACCTCCAGTTTGTCAAATAATCTGAGACTCAGAATAGCGAACCATGGGCCAGCATAAACATCCTATGAAATTAATATGAATTAATATATCTTCTGCGGTTCTTCCTTGAGGAGCGGCTAAGCCACGCATAGGCATGGACATTGGCTTTTTGCAGATAATGGGCATGCTGCCGAGGGCATGCGGAAGCAATGTGCTAAGAGATGTAGTAAAATGTTGCAATAAGTGCACCCCCCCAATCCTCTTAACAGAAGCGCTGCTACCTCAGTGTGGAACAGCGGCTTTGCAGTCCTCTTTGGGCCTTGTGGCGACTGGAGGGTTTCCAGAAGTGGAGAAGGAGAAAGGAAATCTTTCTCCTTCCCCGTGTCCTTCCAACCTTCCCTAGGACATATAAAAGTTTCAGATTTGGGAAGAGGTGGAGAGCCTTCAAGCTAAGGCTGGAATTCGGTTCCGAGCGTAAAGGAGTATGTGTAAGCTTTCTCCCGTTGCACAACTCATCGGGTAACCAGTTCTGTGTCCAAGCTTGCAACCTGTGCCAATTGGGCATGCAATTGGGAGCCCACCGGGTATGCCCCTTCCCAGCTGTCATCTTCAGAATATTTCATACCCTCTGTCAGAGGTTTAAGCAGATACTTCTCCTGCTTCCAGGAGACCAGAAGACTGTACCTACCTCCCAAAGATGGGCTCCAGGGTGTTGGGAATGTAATCTTCTCTGTCTCCGACTTTTTGCTTCCCTATCTTGATCCAAATATAAGGGTCGCACTGCAACAGGATTTGGTCCAGAGCAAAAGATTAGAAGGCAAAGTTTCCCCCGACTTTATGCACCCCCAACACTAAAAAGAAGTCTGCATGTTTAGAGCAGGAAGGGGAAAGGGGCAGGGTGGAGGGATTCTTGGCAAACATACGGAAATTCTCTGATTTTCAGAAAGGTAGCCATGACATGGGATGTATCATGAGGAGGCGAGACTGACTAGAAAGGAGGATAATGTTAGGAAAAGTGTAAGACCCAACATGAGTTGGGTTGACTCAATAAACGAGGCCCACAGCCTGCGGTATGTGCCACCCTGAGTTGGGCTGTTAATGACAGGGTGGGGCTCATTAATTCATAGGGTTGCCGTACAAAGCAACCTGATGGTGCACAGTAGGAGAGGACAGCTGTGCAGAAGGCACACCTCTCAGGGTTTTGATCAAGGAGCCGCAGGGCGCAGAGGTTAAACTGCAGTATTGCAGAGAAAACTCTGCTCACAACTGAGGTTCAATCCCAGGTAGCTGGCCTGAGGTTCACTCGACCTTCCGTCCTTCTGAGGTCAGTCAATTGAGTATCAAGGTTGCTGGGGGGGAGGAGCAATCATCCTTCTGAGGTTGGTAAACTGAGTATCAAGGTTGCTGGGGGGGGAGGAGCAATTCTGTAGCCTTCATAATTAAATTGTAAACCACTCAGAGAGTGTTATATAAGCAGAACACTTTGCTTTTTCCATTTCTGTGGCTTTTTGAAATGGTGTGGTTCCTTCTTAAAAGGACTGTCCAGGAAGCCTTATTTTTTTCCTGCTTTGTGCTGATCCTTTCCCTCTCCCCCTGCTCTTCCTGTTCCCTAGATCTCAGCGGGCTGGTGCTGCAGCCACAAGACTTTGAGGATTTGGTCAGCAACCTTGCAGAAGGGGAAGACGAGGACGCTTCATTTCTACAGCCAAAAGATCCTCACCTTTACCTCTCTGAGTTTTTCTTTCCCTTTGATGACTTATACTCGCAACCGGTTAATGCCAGATTTAAGAGGAGAGATCTGTGGATGGGCCTCTCCGATTGTTCGGGTCTGTGGACTCTTTGTTCCACCCCACAGTTGATTCAGAAGCTCACATGTTGCCCTGATTTGGTCAGATTTTAAACAAAGGCAGTGCTTATGCCTAGTTTAAACTTCAGAAGAGCTCTCCAGGGTGCTGAACGTGCCAGCTTTCATGCCTGGTGATGGATTCAGCGGTCGGTCGTGAGACTGAAACCCAGCATGTCAGTACACTCTGGTCACTGAATCCCACACAAGGACAGGTATGGTTTAAAAACAGCAACAACACACTCCTTTAAAGACCGCACAGCTGGGGGCGAAGGCTTCTGGTTGTGGCCGGCCAAGCACAGCTGGATTACCCAAGGTTGGGAATCACGGGTCTAAAGGAACTTTTTAGCGAACGAGGAGGTGTGGGGTGCAAAGCGACAACTAGAGGGAAGAAAAAGGAATGTATAGTTGGGATTACCAAGCCATTTCTGTCCTTCGGCTGTAGATTAAAAGCTCGGATAATGTAGACTCGGACCAAGCATGCCTCACAGACATTATCCGGAAGTTCCTGGAACTGGCGCGGAGGGGGTGGGATGCTGGGGTCTTCTGGTATTGGATAGATTCGGAAAAGCCCCTGCAACACCAAGCAGAGTGTTCTTTAGGCAGCCCGGGATAAAGTTGTCAACATTTTTCACTGACAAGGCTGCTGTGCCTTTCTCAGCTGCCTGGGAGAAGCAAGAAAAACAGCAGGCGCTCCTTCCTCCAGGGCTGAAAAATGCTGGGGTCTGCACTTGCTGATTCCTTCCTTCTTGGGTAGAAGCTGAGGATACAAATGTTTGGAATGACAGAAAAAATAAATTTAGAAAAGTGGGCAGAATCATCTTCAGAAGCATGCTATGGAAATCTGTATTTCTGTAAGGCACCAGATGCATTAAAGAATCTCCAGACATTTGGACTTCCAGAAATTGTTCAGACTATGGACCAAAAGCCAACTTAATATTACAGATTGGCAGTGATTTAGAAGAATTCCTTAGGTCTTAAAAAAAAAGGTTTGACTGTCACAGCAGTCAAATGTTTTTTATGCCTCCTGGGATTTGCATATCAGCTTGCTTTGCTTTGTGATTGGTGATCAAGAGGTAACCAGAGGCTTCATTTGCAAGTATGGTCACTCAGTCATGGTGTTCTCCCTGAATCTTGTCTCTAGAATGCTAGGAGGTTTCAGATGCTACTGATGGAATTTCTCTGGTATTTTGTACCTGAAGAAAAAACAAGGGGGGAGGGCTCCTACCTTAAATTCACCCCCTACCACAGGGTCGTCGTCTTTCACATGTCCTCGGTACAACCGAAAGGTCTGGCAGAAATCTTGAAAGCCTTGGAATTCAGGCACTTCCTCTAGCTCACAGTTATAAATCTGGAATCAGGCAACAGACCCTGGCTTACCCTTTGGCTGCGCTCCCCATGGCTTAAACATGGGCTTTAAGGGGCTCAGACCCCCATCTCTCCTTGGGGTCCGAGCCTCATAAGTTCATTTGTTTTAGAAGGGGGTTTCCTTGTGAAGCAGCTGCAGAGCTGAAGGGGCAACTGGCAGAGAGGAAGTATCCACTGATTCACTTATCCACTGTTCGAAAATACTAAAAATATTAAATGAAAAATCCATAAAACATCTATTTCTAATGATGAAGTCACCAGAACTGGTGACTAGAGGGAGCCAGAGACCACACCATGCATATGGTTTGCTTGTTATAATCCACATCGTTCAGCATCTGCAGGGGCAGGCGGGCTTGGAACCGATCCCTGTGGGATCTGTACTGTACTCCATTCAATCTAACACTCAAATTTCCAAACTCTCTATACATCTAGTAACCCAGAGGCAATTTCCAAGAAATTTCATACCAGCTGGGCTCTAAAATCATTTGCCACTGAAGATGTGCTCCCTTTCTGACACCCTCCTTAGGGCGCACACACACCTTCACGCTGTCAAAGCCCTTCTCCAGATAATTCCCACTCTTTGCCAGGTCACCCATCGTCACGTAGTATTTGCTCCACCAGTCCACTTCCTCCTCCTCGTCCTCCTCCACCTCCTGCAAAGCGAGAGAAGGCCACGATACTGTACATACCACGCATGATAGTTTTTTTTGCTAGACATTGACTTTTTGCGATTGCTATAGCGATTCGCAAAACAGTGATTCCTATGGGGGAATTTCGCTGGACAATGTTTGGTCCCTGCTTCGCAAACCAATTTTTGCTAGACAACGATTTTGACAGCTCCCTCCGTGCTCGCAAAACGGGGGTTTTTGGGACCTAAGCTTTGCAAGACAGCTATTCAAACAGCTGATCGGCGGTTCGCAAAGCGGCTTTCCTATGGCCGATCTTCACTAGACAATTACTATTCTTCCCCATTGGAACACATTAAACAGGTTTTAATGCATTCCAATAGGGAAATGCTTTTCGCTAGACGATGATTTCGCTAAACAGCAATTTCAGTGGAACAGATTATTATCGTCTAGCAAGGCACCACTGTACAACTTGAGTGGAAGGCATGCTTCCTGCTATTACCCCTTTTTTTGCCTCCAGGCACACTCTTCCTTCAAAGCACAATCAGACTCAAGCCTCTTTTTACTTCCTTATGACCAATCAGAAATCAAAAGCAAGTTGGTTGCTTTTATTGCAGCTGAAGATCCATTTTTTCAGACAAGCTTTTAGCAATCCTGACTGAGTCCCTGGATGCCTTTTTAAAGTTCAGAGAGTTTTAAAAGTTTACTTGCTTTTAATGATTCGAATGTATTTTCAATGAGTGTGACATTTTATTGCTTTTAACGTTGAACTTATTATGTTTTTAATTCTGTTTTTAGCATTGCAAGCTGCCTTGGGTTCCCCTGATAGGGAGAAAAGCAGCCTATAAATAAAACCATCCAACCAACCAGCGTGCTGGACCAAGCTTCCCTCCTTCCTTCCTTCCATTTCCATTTTTGAGGAAGCGGAAAATATTCCAGGAAGAAGAAAGCTTTAGCACCATGAAGATGACAATCTAAGACGTACCGGCATGTTGTTTGATCTGTAAAGTGACCCGTCAATCCTTGTGGCTTTAAAGAAAGGTTCCCATGGAAAATCTGGGTTTCGACCCTGTGGCATTTGCAAAGGTGAGGAGCTTCCTGCTCCAAAGCCGCCGTGCTGGGAGTGAAGTTAATTTTGTCATCGTCACTTACTTTTTGTTCTTTCAGCTTCTTCCATGACCATGGCTTGTAGAGATATTTGTTCAGTTCCTACAAGAAGGAGCAGATTGAATCCCATATAAAAAAACCTCAGTGTTGATCATCAAAGGTGTTCCTTCTCCTGGGGAATCCCATTGGTTTCTTTGAACTTTTTGGGCGGGTTCCTCAGCTGATCAGGACAATCCCTTTGCCTCCCTGAAGACGGCTTGCTTTTGGCTGCCAGACTGTTTCACGTCTTATGTAACAGCCTTGGAGACCATCTTCAAGACGACCGCATGTACTTGCATGACAGGAGACGAGACTTCTACAAATGTTATTTGTCCCCTCATGCAAAGATTGAAAGCCATTGGACTTCAAAGATCCTAAGTCCATCTAGTAGATCAGTGGTTTATTTATTTATTTATTTGATTTTTACCCCGCCCCTCTAGACCATGTCTACTCGGGGCGGCTTACAAAATAAAACAAAACAGTATAAAAATATATAAAATCATAAAATTACATATTTCAATTTAAAACAATTAATTTAAAGAGATGATTACCAAGATGGAATAGCCAAAAAAGAGAGAGAAACAGAGAAAAAGACTTAATTGACTGGAGGGAAGGCCTTCTTGAATAACCAAGTTTTTAACTGGCTTTTAAAAACACCCAGCGAGGGTGCCAGCCGAATTTCTGTTGGGAGGGCATTCCACAGCCGAGGGGCCACCGCCGAGAAGGCCCGGTTTCTTGTTTTTTCCTTCCGGGCCTCTCTCGGCGTCAGACCCCTCAGCCGCCCCTGCTGGCTATATCGGGTGATCCGGGTAGATCAGTGGGTCTTAACCTTTGTTACTCGGATGCTTTTGAACTGCAACTCCCAGAAATCCCAGTCAGGACAGCTGGTGGTGGAGGCTTCTGGGAGTTGCAGTCCAAAACTGAGTTACCCAAGGTTAAGAACCAGTGTAGTAGATTATCGTCCATATAAGGGGGGGGAATCTGTTTTCTCCAGGTCTACTCAGATCATTTTAGATACAAGCATTTCCACAAAGAGGAAAAGAAACAAACTCAATATTGACAAGGTAAAATGCTTACCCTTTTCCTCTTCACCTTGGAAGTGGCTGTTTGGGGAAGAGAAGAATCGGGAAAGTGTGGAATTAAGCGCCAGCCTTAGAGGGTCTGATGTTCTTAAAGTGTAGGGACAAAGTACCCCGTGAGGGATTTTTCAATAAAAGCAAAAAACATTTAAAGCAAGAAGAACAAGAGCTTAAAGATTAACTGGTTTATTTCAAGCTTTTTGAGAATTCCAGTCTGTTTCCTTAGATATTTCTGCTGTACATGATGACACAGACTGAAGGATGGGGCCTCTCAGAAAATTTAGCTAGGCCTGCAAGATCAGAGATCACAGCCCCACTTGAGTAACAATTAAGTGTTAGGAGGAAATCCCAGGCAGTGGAACAAGAAGTCTTAGCATATGGCGGACTCTCCTGTGTTTCCTTTCACAAGAGAAAGTGATACATGGGGAAACGGTGGAGTATTCCCACCCCTAGCTGATGCTTGTTGGCATCATCCACCCCCAAACAGGGTTACTGGACAGCTGGCCTGCAGGTCCCCATGACTGCAAGCAGAAACCTAGTTCACCCTTAACCAAGACAGGCATGCGCGCCTGTGGCACGGACAATGTCGCTTTTGCCATAAGCCAAAGGGAGACGTTTTATAAGGCAGCAGAGCAGGCGATACCTTTAGGAAGGAGGTCATGGGCCTTCTTGCCTTCCCATGGGTCACAGTAGTACTGCTTCAGGGACCTCACGGTCGCGTGGCCCACCACAGGCTTGTAGCCAAACTCTCGGTGGTCAATCACTTTCAGCTCAATGGGAGGCGCATAGTCTTCGTCGACTGGCAGGTGAGTTGGGAGGTCAGGTAAAAGGTAAAGTTTCCCCTTGACATTTAGTCCAGTCGTGTCCAACTCTAGGGTGCGGTGCTCATCCCCATCTCCAAACCGTAGAGCTAGCATTTGTCCAAAGACAATTTCCGTGGTCACGTGGCCGGTGCGACTAGACACGGAACGCCGTGACCTTCCCACCAAGGTGGTACCTATTTATCTACTCACATTTTTACATGCTTTCAAACAGCTAGATTGGCAGGAGCTGGGGCAAGCGACGGGAGCTCACTCCGTTGCGTGGATTCAATCTTACGACTGCTGGTCTTCTGACCTTGCAGCACAGAGGCGTCTGCAGTTTAACCCCGCAGCACCACCACATCCCTTGGGAGGTCAAGATGGATGCCAATGACTGGTCATCCTCCCCATTGAGACAATGCAAAGCCTCTGAGTCTTTTCCCTGTGTTTTCAGAAAGCTCATGGAAAGCATGTCCCTTTGGGGGGTTGGTTGATTGGTTTAATAACCCCCAACGTAGTTGTTTCATCCATTTAAATTTAACGAAGACAACGATTGTGCATCGTAGGTCTTGAAAAATCCAATGAACCCTTGGGCCTTCTTAGCATCCACCCCTCTATTCTTTTCCATTGTATTCTCAAGAATCAGCTGAAAGTGGGTTAAAAGGGACTGTGATGTTCCTTCTGAGAGGTGTCTTACAATCAACTTAAGACTCCCTCTTTTTGGTAGAGAAGCAGCTAGCAAATTAAACTCAGCAGCGAAACTCCAGTAGTTAAGTTGCTGCTAGAGGAGGCCCACTGACTCACTAGGGTTTTTGTGAGTGGAAACTTGTGTAAGTTCCATTGACTTAATAGACCTACTCTGCTTATGACTGGTTTACATCCCATGCTTTTTAGCAACCAACAGCGGGCAATGGAGAAAAATTGAGAGATGCAAAGAAATGGAAGTACATCTATTTCAGGGTGGAGAAAAATTGAGAGATGCAAAGAAATAGAAGTACATCTATTTCAGGGGAAAATGTCACATTGAAAATGTAGAATTCAAAATTTGCTTGGTAAAGGCTGAAATACTGGATATTTCCCTTCCTGAGGTTAGTGCATGATTTCATTTGAGACACATCTTAAATCAAACATACACTGACCTCAAACTTTGTCTCTGATGAAGAGTGTTTACTGTTTGCATTAGTGACCGACCGGGTTGCTTACCACTTTCATCAGAAAGATGTTAATTGGAAAATTGGGATTCTCATGTAGGTTCTTGATGGTTGGTGTGTGAATGGATTCCCCGCCACATTCTATAATGAGACTCGGGTTATTGATCACCAGCAGGTTATAGTTTTTCATGTCCCGTAAACCCCAGGCTAAGATCTGTGGGGAAACCATAGTCAACATTTCTGTTTAAATGATAGCTCAGGGGACAAGGGGACTGATAATTGAAATCTGAATCTTTACTTGGCAGATGTTTGTTGATTTATGAGGCCAAATCCATTTAGATAGGCCACATGCCCAGTAATTATAAAAATAAACACGTAATATAGTTAAACTTTCAAAAGAGTGAATGTAGTTCTTAAGTTACAATGGTAACAACTTAGTTACAACAACCCTACTATTAAACTTTTCCTCCCTGTGCTAACAGACATTCCTCAATGACGCATGCCTCGGCCATCAGACTAGCCACTAAGCTCATGTTATCATCTAGTGACTAGTTGCAAAACAAGGGATACTGAAGGGAAGACACACAGATGAGGAAAAGCATGTGCTCTGACAAACAGACCACCTTCAACTCTTGGGGGAGCACCTCTTCTAAACACATGCCAAGACTATAACCCTGGGAGATGAATTGGTTCAAATCCTAGACGTAGCATGTAGCCATCATGACAACTATCCAGTGAGAATCTTATCCTCTATGGATTTGTCTAATCCCCCAGTTCTTAAAAAATGTACTTGCCAGCTGGGGAATTTATGAGTCCCATTCAATGCTGCTTTGTGCTCACCTCAATGGCCATAAGCCTCAAGATGGGCCGGATTCCTTTAGGAATCGTGTAGATCCCATCCTTCCAGGCAGGAGGTGGATGTTTTCCCATGGATCCGTCCTGTAGGGGAAGAAAAACATGGAGAATCCTGTGTTTATAGACCTCAGTTTTTTTGCCTTCAGCAGTAAAGAACTAACGGCTTCTGGGAAACCCGAAAATAGCCTAAGGGTCAAACCCAACGTTTAAGAAGAAAACAAATTTCATCTGATTAATCCCTCTGACATGGGGTTACATCAGCACGAAATGCCTCAGCAATCAGATGGGCACATTAAGACCCTGGGACCTTCCAGCGGCCAATCACAACAGCATGCATGCTAAATGCAGGCTCTGGAGATGAGGGAAAGCAGATTCTACATCAATCATGCGTAGCCGGAGGGGCCTGTTTCAAAACAGCCAGCAGAAAAAAAGGCTGAAACAAGAATAACACAGGAAAGCACACATGGACACATTTAAAACAAAGATATTTCAAACTTCCATGTGGGAATCAAAAAAGGCTGAAACAAGAATAACACAGGAGAGCACACATGGACACATTCAAAACAAAGATATTTCAAACATCCATATGGGACTCTGATAGCACTCTTCAAATACTTGAAAGCCTGTCCTACAGAGGAGGGGCAGGATCTGTTCTCAATCCTCCCAGAGAGCAGGACACGCGACCATGGGCTCAAGTTGCAGGAAGCCAGATTTAGGCTGTGTATCAGGAAAAACTTCTTAACTGTTAGAGCAGTACGACAGTGGAACCAGTTACCTTGAGAGTTGGTGAGCACTCCAACCCTGGAGGCATTTAAGAGAAAATTGGACCCCCATCTGCTTAGAACAGGGGGGTTGGACTTGATGGGCTTATAGGCCTCCCCCCATCTGCTTAGAACAGGGGGGTTGGACTCAATTATTCTACGATTCTAGCACTTGTGAGGAGATAGTCTGGGACCTGGTAAGCTCAGGGTAGAGCAGATGTTATTAATCTTTGGCGTACTGGCTCTGCTTGAAATTTGCTCCAGTAACCAGCTGTTGGTTGGTTTACAGTCTCTTTTCTGTCCCGATGCGATGCAGAAAATTCAAGAGTTTTGGATGCTGAAGCTGAAATTCACAGTGGCTCCCCCAAAAATCCTGAGAGATGCCCACACAGCGCTAAGCTTCTAGCATCCGTATGTGACTCTAAAAATCCCAGCTCATGGCCTGATGTTTTGTGGTCACTCCCTCTATTTTATTTTATTATATTACCTTCTTGTCCATCAGAAGCTCAAAAGCAGCTAGGAGCTGACCTGCCTCTTTCTGCTCTCTGGTGATTGGATGCCGGCGGAGGCGGGGCATTTGTCGGGAATCGAGATTCAGATACACCGTCGGGATGCATAAGCTCATCCCCATGAAATAGTCCGAGCGGCCCTAAAAGGAAGAGGGCCAGGAGAGGCCCAGGTGAGCACCGTACGAAACAAAAACAACAACAAACCAATGCCAATAGTTACCAATAGTAAAAGAGTGGCCTCAGTAGCCAGATGGGCAGTATACAAACTGAATGAACAACAAACCAACGCCAATAGTTACCAATAGTAAAAGAGTGGCCTCAGTAGCCAGATGGGCAGTATACAAATTGAATGAATGAATGAATGAATGAATGAATGAATGAATGAATGAATGAATGAATGAATGAATGGACGGACGGATGGACGGACGGATGGATTATTATTTTATCCTGTGGCACAGCCAAGAGACCATCCTACATACACTTGGGTTGTAGTCAACAATCTCCACTCCCACAACGGGCGGATCTTCCTCGGTTGCCCGTGGGTCTCCGTAGATCATGACATTCTCGAAGACGAGCGTCTGGTCCCAGACAGGGCTCAAGGTGCCGGCGATGCAGCGGGTGCATTGACTCATGTGGAGGAAGGAGACGTGGGCCACCGGATCTAGCAGAGAAGAAACATGGCCAAAGACGGGCAGGTGATTCCCTGCAAACTTGAGCATCACCCTGCATTTTACATAGACAGAGGGGTTTTACAGCACAGACCAACCTCTGTTCTCCACCCTCTTTAGGAAACCCTAGAAAGGCTACATCTAGACTTTTTTATGGTCTTGTACAACTAGAATCTAGGAAATCTCCAAGCGGGTGAACTCTCTCCTCCCTGAAGTTCTGCAGGTCTCCACTCGTTGTCCTTCTGTGCTGTCGGGTTGCTTCAGATGAACCGGAAACCTAGCAGGATTTCCAAGGCATGGGAAATGCTGAAAGAGCTGTTGCCCATTACCGTCACCCAGGGAGTTACTGTGTCTGAGAAAGGATTTGAACTCAGGCCTCCTCAGTCCACGTTTGCCACTCTACCCACTACGCAGCATGATGCTGGATGTTCTCTAATCTACACTTCCCACCTTCAAAGCTGCTATTAGTCCCGTTAGAGAATGAGAAAAAAGACAGGGGTGGTGTCCGTTTGGATAGCCTTTCCCCCCTAGGCTGGGTAACAGAAATCTCACAGGGAGCTAAAGGGAAGGAGCTGGGAAGAGGTTTAGCGCAGGAAAACAATATGGGGGCAACACGTTTACCCCCCGCACGGTTGCCCTGATCCAATTTGTCCCTTCCCGTGATCTCCAGTGAAAACAAACAAAACAAGGAGGCCCAAATCAAAGCTCTCTGGCACCTCCTTTTTTCTCAGTTCTGCAAAAGAGGAGGCAGGACGCCATCCCAAAATACAGGTGGAAGAGACTCCCCAATGGTCTCAAGGCTGACCCTCCAAAGAGGCAGACTGAGGGCGCTGACCCAGGCATCCGATTTGGGGGCTCCTAAGAGGACCGCGAAGCATTATTTACTTTGCAATTGGTGTTCTGAGGCTGTCCTGCTGTTGGGCACATCATGAGAAGACAAGATTCTCTAGAAAAGACCTTGAGGCTGGGAAAAGTTGAAGGCAGCAGGAAAAGAGGAAGGACCCATTCACTCTTCTGCCTCAGGCAGCAAAATCTCTTTAGCCATCCCCGAGAGGTCTGACACAAATGCCAGTCATATACTGAGCAGGGAGGGGCTCAATCCCAGTTGTTCTGAGGACAGTAGTGTGACGAATCCGCTCCAGGTTTTGTTACGGACTTTCAAAAAAAGTGCCCCACGGTTTTGAACCTGTTTGGGGCATAGTGTTCAGCAGTGGAAAGCTTTTATACATTTTGGACTAAAAAAAATGGGGTTTATTCACTACCCCGGGGATGGCAGGGGCGTTCTTCACACACCTGCAGCACCCTGAGCAGACGTTCCAACAAGATCCCTCGCCTGGTAAAGATAGCAGCGCAACTGGAAGTAAACTGGACCTGAAAAGCAAACGTTGACATGAATTCGGATTTTGCTTCCTGCTTGTTGAATTAGCTTTCCCACAACATGAGTTTTACAAAACGCTCATGCTGTTTCTAGAGACAGTGCTCCCTCAAGTGGTGAAAAGGGTATGACTTGGAAAGCTCAGCAAGGGCTGAAATTTGCCCGTCACTGGAGTTCATCACTGACATGTGACTAACAGCTTATTTTGCCTATCCAGAAATATGCATAATGAAGAGGAGCATTAATTGGGGACCCTCAATAGATTACTCACTTTTGAAGATGCAAAAGAGGAGGGGCGTGTTCATCTTCAAGAGGCTTTGGGAAGGACGCCTCTCAACTTTTTTCTCCTCTTTCTTTTCTTCCGTCTTCTCTACCGCCGTTGTTCTTATTTTCTCTTGGCCCTCTACATCCACACCCTGAAAAAAAGACACAATAAGACCATGCCCTTAACATCCTTGGGGGTTCGCACACGTTGAATGTCCTCCCTCAGTCAAATGTCCAAGACTTCTGTGTCAAGAAAATCTTAATCCCACTCTCCACATGGCTTATACAACCCTTATAACGAACACAGTTGCATTTATTTTATGCTTCATATTCTCTTCCACCATCTACCCCCTTTTATTAAAATACTTGTCCATCTTGCTCCAACTGAGGAAGGCAGCACTTGATGGAAGGGGGGGGGCTTGGCACCCATCTTACCAGTGATCCCTCCAAGAGGAAGATGGGAGCTGCAGGGCCGGGGGATTCGGGCTCCAGCTTCCGGCGCCAGCATCGTCGGCGGAAAACGTCGCTGGGATTTCGTTGCAGGTGAAACCTCCAGCCGGTGCTGGGAGCATATTCCCACGCCTCGTCTCTCCCCTTTACAATGGAGTGCTGCAGAAAAAAAAAACAGAGAGCAGGGTTGGAATGTGTCAGGGAAGAGGCAGGCCTGGGGATGATGGGGTTTGTAGTTCCAACACATCTGAAGGGCAAAATTCTAGGGAAGGCTAGTCTGTCTGAGTCTGAGGTCAATGCTGGTGCTCTAAGCTGGGTTTTAGTTTGAACTTTCCAGCAGCTGCCTATGCTGTTAAACCTTCTCCCCCAAATAGATTCAGAACCTTCAATACCTCCTTTGGCATTCGGACGACAACCTGGAACGGACTCTCTAATCTTGAGAGGTTTACCACCTATAGCAACCCTGACGGGGCTTTCAAGGGAAGTGAGATCTTTAAGGAGTGGTTTGACCAGTTCTGCACACACATCCCGTGTGTTTTTATGGCTGAGCGGGGATTTGAACCCAGGCATCCTAGTCCATCCCTCTACCCAATACACCACATGGGGTAAAATCTGTGACACGGCCCAGGTGATTCAGTCCCGGGTCACCTATTACCAGCTGGAGGAAGGATCACCGTGTGTTTTTATGGCTGAGCGGGGATTTGACCCCAGGCCTCCTGCGTCCTAGTCCATCCCTCTATCCAATACACCACACAGGGTAAAATCTGCGACACGGCCCATGTGATGCAGTCCCGGGTCACCCATTACCAGCTGGAGGAAGGACGTCATTTGCTGTTCCTGGTTCTCCTTGACCAGATTCCGGGCACGCTTCCTCAGCCAGCGCCGACGCCGGTGCGTGTGGTAGGTCTTCTCGGATGCGTTCCAGGAGTGAGGGAATTCAGCAGGCGGGAGAGCAACGCCGTATTCCCAGCCTATGAAGGGGTGTAAAGCAACCCTGAGGGTCTTCAGAGCGACTCATCCAGGGATACAAATGCCCCGTCAGACCTCTCTTCCTGTTTTCCCCAAAAAGGCCAAATATGGTGCATGGTTTGCTCTTTGCTTAGAGCCTGTATTAGTTGTAGATTCTCCACAGAACCAGTAATTCTTGTAATCCAGTGGTGGTTTCCAAACTTAGGTCCTCTGATGTTCCCTGGCTCACACCCTGCATCTTGTTCTTGTACTGCAACTCTGGGAGTTTTAGTCCAAGAACATCTGGAAACATCCAAGGTTGGAAAAGCATTGTTCTAATCTAGGATCTATCATACAGACAAAATTCTTTCCCGAGTCTTCCTAGAGCAGTAACTAATTAGCTCAGTACAGTAGTAGATCTTAGATTCCTAGAGCAGTAACTAATTAGCTCAGTAGTAGATCTTAGAACTGCAGTGGAAGGGACCCTGCGGATCATCCAGTCCAGCCCCTGTCAAGAAAGCCCTGTGAGGAATCGAACTACCAGCTTCTGGGTTCTGCAGCCAGATGCTTAAACCACTGAGCCATCCAGCAGATGAAGGAGAAGAGGTTCCAAAACATGTTGTTGTTTATGATGGCCTAGCTAATTTGCTTTAAACGTAGAAGCCACACACATGATACCAATACATCATCTCTGTTCGACGCAATGATGCTGACATGGCTGGACATTTAAGTCTGTGTCCAAAAGATGTATATTAATTCCAACTTCACCCCAATTTTGGCTACCATAAATTTACTGATTTGCAAATGCACATTTTTAAAAAACTCAGCTGCACATCCTGTGACACTAACAGAGAGCAAGTGCTTGCTTGTAAGGGCCAGCAAATTATCTCTGGTGGAAGTTGGTGATGTCTCCCCTTGACCGGTCCAGAGCCAAACTGAATCAAAACAGAGACTTGCCTCCATCGTCCACAGCCCGGTTCACTTCCACTTTCCAGTCTTCCACAAAGATCCAGCCCTGGGGACACACAATCTCTTCCTTTGGTGGGGTAGGAGCACCACTCTTGAAAGGGAAGGGAAAGAATGTGGAGTGAGGAGGATGGGCTGTGAGGTCTGAGAATATCAGAAGGATGCATGTCCAGCCATTGCTGGTCCTCTTAATGGCAGGGCATTAAAAAATCAGTTGGAATCATCCATAGGGAAAAAGTTTCGTCCCCCAAAATCTTGCCTTGGCCCCAATACAGCAGGACCCCCCATATCTGCAGGATCAGATTCACTTATCCACTGATTCACTTATCCACAATCTGAAAATATTAAAAGAAAAATCCTAGAAACATATATTTTTAAAGATGAAGTTACCAGAACTGGAGGTTAGAGGGAGCCAGAAGCCATTTGTTGTTGTTTAGTCATTAAGTCATGACCGACTCTTCGTGATCCCATGGATCAGAGCACGCCAGGTTATTAAAATAGTTTTCACTACAATCCAGGTTTTTCAGCATCTGTGGGGAGGGGGATTGGAACCGATCCCTCATGAATGCAGGGGTCCTCCTGTCAGTCCACCACCTCAGTTCCATTCTTGAGTTTTATTACTGCTTCGCACTTACTGCGTTGCTGAAGGGGACCGGGGCTGGCCTCCATCGACGTCCCGGTTGCCGAGTCTGGTTCTCATACACTTCCTCCAGCACCTCTGTGTGGTTCATCTCTTTGTCCAGCAAAAGCCTGCTCAGAAGCACAACCGCCGAGATGCGGGCGTAAGGTTCGGCGGCCCACACGAAGACACAACGAGAGTGTGCTGTTGTTGGAGCAGACGCCTTGGGGCTAAGTCTCTCCTGAGCCGCACAGCCTAGGCGGTCCTGGACGTTTTTGCAAACTCTGCTTTATCCAGGAAGAGAGGAAGTTGACTTATACCAGTTCAGAATATTTCTGCACCCAACTTTGGACTCTCTGCAGCCATAACGATAGCGCCCAGGCTCTCCGGCACAGAGACATCCCTCAAACCACGTTGACTGCCTCTCTGTTTCTAAACGACAGATGCCAACGACTGTACTTCAGACTATTTTTGCTTCCGAGGGCTCTACCAATGACGTCGAGAAGGTCCAGTTCCAGGAAAGACCTGCTCCTCTTTCCGGCACCTCTTGCGCGCAACATGAGAACCACACTTGTCGCCCAAGAAGCGAGAGACGAGCCAAAATCATGTTGCTCTGTGCAGTCAATGACTCTAGAGTAGGTCCATTGAATCAACAGGGATGCCCGGAGTCAACCCCCTCTGTAAGTTCCATTGATTCAAATAGGTCTGCGGTAACTGTGACTTTGCTACACGAAGGTAAATCACAGCTAGAGTAGGCCCATTGGCATCAAAGGAACTTAGGATGGAGTTGTCATATCTCCGTTGATTCCACGGACCTAGCCTGTGATTTACCCCTCGAGGCAACAGGATTTGGGCCACTTAACACATAGAAAGCAGAGTATAAAAAGAAGCCAGAGAAGGAAGCAACAAATCTTCAGGTCTGGGGCAGACTGTAGCGTTTCTTCCATTTTTCTCCCTGTTTTCCTAGATTGAAAACTCTGGTTACTTAATACAGACAATTCTTTCCCATTCTCTCGGCATCCAAAGAGTTGTTGGGGTAACACACATGCCCATGATTAACCAATTTTCCCTCCCATAATTGTGTTTCCCCCAGAAATACGTAAGTCCCTTGATGATATTCAGACCTGCAAATCGAAGCCTGTATTGACCAGTTGCAGAACAAAGCATGCTAAGCCCAAGATACTCGAGCGTGATGTGAAAAATAAATGCATTTCACCACTTGGGAGAAGACCTCTACAAATAATTTTTGAATGCAGTAATCAATTGTCTCGTCTGACCCTCAGAAGAAGAAGAGGCATGATTTTCTCCATGTTCTGCCAGGATTTTTAATTTTTAATTTTGTATTTCCTTATGTTGGCTTTTACTGTGAGCCGCTTGAGAGACGAAACGATCCTTTTCCTTACGGGTGGGGTGATTTTTAAGAAGACAAGTCAAATACGGAGACTCACCTTCTCTGGGGCTCCGGGGCCCACTCGCCGTCCCACTTCCAACCTGCAGGCAACTGGAACTTGTCTTTTGGAAGGCTGACCCGCCCAGTGACATCTGAAAAGCTGGGATATGGCGTGAGGTCCCTTGTCCCCCAGATGCCGTGCGTCTTCTTTTGGTTCTCGTACTGAAAACGGCAGAGTAAAAACCACTAGAAGGCTGGGATTGCTTTAAAGGTCCTGAATTTTCCTCTGATTCAATGGGTTTCGGGTGAAAAACATGGGGCAAATCTTCTTGCCATGTTCATAGAAATCATAGAAAAGTGAAGTTGGAAGGGGCCCAGAAGGCCATCCAGTCCAACCCCCTGCTCAAGGCAGGACTGCAATCAAAGCATATCTGCCAGGGGATTATCTAAGTTTTTTTCTTGAAGGTCTCCAGCATTAGAGAGCTCACCACCTCCCTCTGAGGTCACAGGTTCCATTGTCGTACTGCTCTAACAGTTAGGAGGTTTTTCCTGATATTCAGCCAAAATCTGGCTTCCTTTAACTTGCGTGTCCTTGCACACTATTTTGTCCACCCTATAACCTGACAAGGTAGGCAAAGCTAACAGACAGAGGTGGGCCCGAGGCTCTGAAGTGGACTTTGTGACTCACTCGGAGGTTTCCCTCCTGACGGCACTCAAGCGTCTCCTTCTCTCCAGCGGCCTGGCGCGACTCACCGTCTCGGCGTAAACGAAAATTTTCCCTTCGCAGCATTTCATGAACTCTGCGCTGTCCGCCATCCGCCCGAACCACATTCGCACCCGGAGCACCGCAGGGATAAGGCTGTCAACCCCTTTGGCTTGTGCGCCCTGCAGGAGAAATGGCAAGAGTTATGGGCGCGCACCATCGCTGTCATCTGGATTGAGGAGGAGTTGAAAATGGCTTCAGCGAGAGAGGAGAAAAAAAACAGAATTAATTTTTTAAAAAGCAATCTGATGTGTTGTCGTGGGACTGAAATCACCCAGACAGAGGACTAGAGACTCTGAAGCAATGTTTTCAGTAGATGAGACCACAATATCCTAACTGAAAGCCACACACTGTTAAGAGGAAAAATATTGGCTAAGGCACAGGACCCGTTCTTGATAGTTCACAACTATTTCCTCCTCTGTGGAAGCTAGTTGTTCTCTCTCTTATCCTTGTTAGACTGGGGTGGCCCTATGTGGGACCTCATCTCCATGACATTGGTCAGCACATTAACCCATTTTGGGGACTTCTATAAAGAAGTCTAGGTCCTTCTCTTTTTTCCTCCTGCTCTAGCCCCAAATGGCGTTCCCAGAGCGACAGACATACCGGATTTCTCCCCATCTTTCATTATTACTTAAAAGATTTGAAGGTTGATTCTCCCTTACTCCCACCACCTCTTAGCAAGACCTGGTTTATTCTTATGCCACTGTGCATTCACACCTATGCAGAGTAGCAGAGAGACCCATGGAGGACCCTGATTGAGCGCTTTGGTCAGGAAGAAGGCAGGCCGGAGGTGGGGCAACGCCTTCTGTGCCCTCACAGACTTGGGGCTCCTGCACAAACCTCCCGCCCCCTTCCCCCCATCGATTCTTGCTGAACGAACTGGCCAAGTTGGTGCACTCGCAGAGTGCAATTTTTTGTACCTTCAGGAAGATGGTGTGGGTTTTGCCACACAGCCCGCCTCTGGCATGGAGACCAGCTCTGGAGAACATGATGGTCTGCGGCTTCACCCGGGCGTGGGCCACCCGGCGCTCCCCACACAGCATCCAGATCATCACGTCCGGTATGCCGATCTGGGTCTACGAGAAGCCGAAAGAATAGATCACACGAGGTCCTTTACGGGGCTTGGATTTCCACTTATTTAAACAACATCCTTAGAGATGTCCTTTGGCATCATGGGGAAAAAGGGTCCAGAACAAGGTAAACCAGGTATCTGTATTACCAGTTATTATTACTATTAAGCCCTATACGGCTTGGATTCAGGCTGTTTGAAGGATTGTATCATCCCCTTGTGAGCCTTCTCGGCTTTTAAGATCTTCTGGGGAGGCCCTCCTCTCGGTTCCTTCACCTTCCTAAGCGGGCTTGGTGAGGACACGAGATGGGGCCTTCTCGGTGGTGGCTCCCAGGCTGTGCAATGCACTGACCTGAGAAGACAGGTGGGCCCTCCACCTCACTCTGGTCCTTCCATCATCGGTGGTGGCTCCCAGGCTGTGCAATGCAGTGACCTGAGAAGCCAGATGCCCCCCTCACTCTGGTTCTTCCATCGTCAGTCAAAGACCTTCCTCTTCAAGCAGGGTTTTAAGCAGTAAGTTATCTCAAGAATGATGTTTTTTAACTTAAAGATTTTAAAATATATTACAATTGTTTTTATAGTTGATTGTTTTAATCTTAATGGATTTTGTGTGTGTGTTTTCAATTGTGATATTTATACAGTGTTTCAAAATTTCTTATTTTGCCTGTTGTGAGCTGCCTTGGGTCCCCTTCTGGGGAGAAAGGTGGCCTAAAAATAATTTAAATAAATTACTGGAGCAGATACAGGCTAATGCAAGATGCTCCTGGTCACGCTTGGGTTTCTGAGGGTGAATTCTTACGAATCAACGAAGCTTGTTGTGACATTTGGAAGTTTAAAAATGCAAGCACATGAATGAGAATCCTTGGTGCCAGCGGACGTTGCACAAGATGGAAACACCTAAGCAGAAGGAGGCCGACGGCCGAAGCGTCCATGAAAGACGATGCCACTCTTGGAAATTCTGGGGGTGAGGTGGGTTAATCCCCCCAAATACCTCGGTGGTGACCGTGGCGAGCCTGCTCAGCCAGGTCTCTGCTTTGGCAATGAGTTTCGGAAGGGGCATTTTCCAGCTGGTCTTCTCCGTGGCCTTGCCGATCTGCTGGAGGAGCCGGAGGCGAAGTTTCCTCATTTGCTGATCTAGAAGAGTGGCCGGGGTCCGGCTTTCTGAACCCGGAAGGGGCTTCCTGAGTGCAGAGAAAGTAACGAACATTCAAACTTTCCACGTGGCAGGAGAAACAACAGGGTGGTGGAACTTCCCCTGAACCGGAACCCGCCACCTCATCTCCCGTCCAATCTCCGTTACTCACTTGCAGTCCTCCACCAGGTCCTTCTGAAGTTTCTTCCAAGCCACCTCCACAAGCGGGTTGCGGGCATCACGGATGGCTTTAAGAGTCTCCAGATTCCTCCTCTGTGAGGGGATGAGTCATGTTTACAGCTGTGCAGCCCATTAAGTTAAACCCACCACGGCTCCGGAAAAATGGACAGCATCTTCCAGGGTTACTTACCTCTGGTAAGTTAAACGCACCATGGCCGAGGGTGGAGGAGAAAAAGGCCAGGAGACACTCGGTTTTAGGGTGGAGGGCGAGCAAATGGAAAGGGCAGGATTTGGCCAGAAGGATGGAGTGAGTGGCGAGCCGGCTTCCCCCTGGAGCCACCACTATCCTCCACCTACTGGATTCCCCACTTAGGGCAAGCATGAGGTTGGCGATGGCGGCTTCCATCAGGTCCATGGGGAGCCTCCTAATGGCATTCAGCGAACTTGTTCTGAAGACAGGGTGGCCGAGAGGATAACCTGGCATGCCCGTCCCTCTCAGACAACTTCCCACCACCAGGAACGGGTGACCCGTGTGTGTGTGTGTCTGCCTGGCACCTACCTGCCCCCCCTTTTTTCCGTAGCCTGCTCTCAGACTTACCAGCCTCGTGTGTATGAACTCTATGGTGTTCACACATTCGATCCGGTGGCCAACGTCCTCCCAGAAGGAAGTGATGGCCACCATGGGTTTGGTGTCGTACCATGGCAGGTAGTAGTAATAGTTCCCTGGAAAAGAGTAGCCCAGCTTTGGGAAGAGCCTCACTCAAACCAACCTGCCAACCCACTTCTGACCCTCTAACTCAGGATTGTGTAGGCAGAATCATCCCCCGGACTCCCAGAAAGATGAGCAACAGGGTCCTGGAGCAAATCAAGCCTGAACTATATCTCTGGTGGCAAAGATGTTGTAACGGAGAAGGCAGGATTCTCTGGAAAAGACAATCACGCTGGGAAAAGTTGAAAGCAGCAGGAAAAGAGGAGGACCAAATACGAGATGGATCGGCTCCCTAAAGGAAGCCACAAGCTTGAGTTTGCAAGAGCTGAGCAGGCTCAGTTGAAGACAGGGCCTTCTGGAGATGGGCTCACTGATAAGGCCACTATAAATCAGAGACGACAGCACATAACAACATAGTCTAAGAACTGATGCGGTGTCACGGTTGCATGGTTAAACCTAGACCTAAGAGGGCAGGGTGCAAGTTCACACAAAGATTTTTCAATTGGTAGATCAGATGTTGTTGGACTACATCTCCCATCTAGCTAGTGTAGTCCGTGATGGGGGACTAGACCTAAGAGGGCAGGGTGCAAGTTCACGCAAAGATTTTTCAGTGGGTAGATCAGACGTTGTTGGACTACATCTCCCATCAACTCTAGCTAGTGTAGTCCATGATGGGGGATGCTAGGACTTGTAGTCTATCAACATCTGGAGGGCTCCATTTCACTCACTGGTACCACCCCACTACCAAGATGTCTCCCCCAGGCCTCTCAAACAGCTCTTCCCTTCTCAAGACTTTTCTCCCACAATATTTCTTCTTTGCCTTCCTGCCTCTGATTCCGAGCCACGGGCCTCTCTGCCACGCCGCTGCTCCTTACCGTCATACACAGCGTGGCTGTATTGAGTGGTGGAGGGAAAAGGCTTGCAAGTGCCATCAAATTTGTTGCCATAATTCCCGATGCTGACTTCGAACTGGATCTCTTCCTTGATGTCACCCAACATGGTCGCTGAGTAAAAGACCACACATAGGCCATACCGGCGTTGGGGCAGGAAGCGCTACCGGGGGGGAAATGGCCAGTTTGGCAGTTATAAGACTCAATGTGTGAAGTCAGATTTCTCCCAGTCTGTTCATGTTAACTGGCCACATGGAGGAGGAAATCGGCTGAGCAGCCTTGTTTACAGCTTGTTAGCTTAGCTCTCCTGTAGCCCTGCAGGAGGTTCAGTTACAGGAGAACTGCCTTAAATAAGCTGTAAACAAGGCTGTTTAGCTAATTTCCTCCCCTTGCTTCCTTCCCTCGCTTCTGCCTCTCGTTCCCTCCCTCCCTCCCTTGGTGTCTAGTCTAAGAAAGTAGCATGTCCCAACTCTGTTTTTCACATCTGCCATTTACATAAAGTAGCAGCTTAAAGGCAACAAAGCATATTATGTGGCATCTGTTTGCTGGCATAAGGCATCTGATGAAACAAACTTTAATCCTTGAAGCTTTACATCAGGGTCTGGGAAACATTTTTATTTGTCTCCTTCCCACAAGCAATGTTGTCGCCAAATGAATGTTATGCCTGGTGTCACCCACCTTTGTTGCTCATCATCATTCCATCATTTTTCTCTCCTTCTATTGCAAACTTCTCCCCTTCTCAACTCCTTTGGTTTCTTTCCCCCCCCCCCCCCGGTGCCACCACAGGCACACCCCATTCTCTGTCTCTCTGTTCTTGGGAGCATTTTTTTAAAGAAACGCTTTCCAAGTATTGTTTGTTTGTATAATGGTCGGTAATTTCAGTTATCCAAAAAGCTGGCTGCACACGCCCTCCCGCAATGACCTAAAGCACCAGATTAGAAAATCCCCATGCCGATCAGAAACCGAATGACAGCTGAACTCATGAGCTTAGAGGGAAAGGGTGGAATAGGGAGGGGAGCGTGATGATGATGTCTGATCTTGTAGGGGCAGAGAATGTCTTTTGCTGAATCTAACAGCCACAGTTTAATAGGACTAAGCCCTGGTGCTGAAGCCGATCCTACAAACAGCTTCAGGACCTTGGAGAACTCCATAAAAAATAAAGAGTAAAACGTGGTGTGGATTCATCATCCTCTGGTGGGGCTCTCTCTTTTGGGCCAGTGAGGATTATGGTCCAGAAAAGATGCAGCGGACAGGTGGGGAAGAGATCTCGATTCTAAGTTCCTACTATGGTCTTAGCACTGTAGCCTTCCCCAACCCAAATGAAGCATCCTTTATACTCCACTGTAAGGCAATACTGACTGTCTTCCCACTATCCCACTGGCTATCCTAGCTGGAGGAGTCTGGGAACTGAGGTCCAGGTCGCTAACTTTGCCCTGAGTTACTTCATTTCCTGGTTACCTCCACCCTTCTCACAACATCTTCAGGTATGTCTTCTATGATCTGGACGGGGATTGACTCCATGTTGGTGCTCAGCTCCACGAGGACTCTTCCCCGGTAAGCGACCCCTTCCTCCTGGAAAATACACAGAGAAAAAGGGGATGCACCACGGAAAAAAAAGCAGGAGAGCAGCAAAGCGGTGAAATCCTGATGATTCAGAAAGAAACGGTCTGGGGAGCATGCACGAATTCTCCTTCGCTCCATTCGCAATGGGAAACATGAGCAAACTTGCAAATTCTCAGTCTTGACCAAGAGACCCATGAAAGAAAAAAGCTGGAGAATTTTCCCGTCATGTGATGATTTAAAATAAGAAAGGGATCTAAAATTCACAAGGTGCAGAAGGGCATATGTATAAGGGCCTTCTCTGTGGCTGCTCCCAGACTTTGGGAGGCCAGGCTGGTCCCATCTTTGCTGTCCTCCCACAAGCAGGTCAAGATATTTCTCTCCAGGCAGGCTTTCCCTGAGTGACCGGGTTTCTTAAATGGAATGTTATGCCTTCCTGCTTTGCATGTGTTTTAGTATTGCTTTTATTTACCATTTCTCAAAGTGGTATCTGTTCCCTTTTTATATTTGTGTACTTAATATTTTTAGCTTTAAATATTCTCTTTTAAAGATGTCAGCTGCCTTGGGCCCTTTTAAAAGGAGAAAAGTGGGGTTAAAACATTCTAAACAAACAAATAAATGCAATTTGAGCTGCACAGAGCAATTTTGAAAATTCATGTCCAAGGTTTGAATTAATATCCAAGGTCCCAGCCCCGCAGGGTTTGTAGCCTGCTTACTCGGAACCAAATCCATTGGCAGGCATATTTTCTCAGAAGCAAGACCTTCTGAACTGAACAGTGCTTATTGCCATATATATTGAACCACTACACTTAATGGAATGTTCCTAGTCTGTTTATAATTGCTGTCTTTAAAAACCAATTTAAGAACAGCAATTCAAGCACTTAAGACATTATGGAACACAGCACAAAAAGCAGGTTAGATGGATTGCTATCATATTGATTTTCACCGTATTAGCTATGGTACAAAAGCAAAAGTAAACAGGAAGGAAAAGTGGGTATTTTCTCTTTTATATGTTCCACACTTCCTTTTTTTGAAAACAACTTCAGGCATTGTCCGTGCCTCATAAAGTGATCACCCTCTTGATCCTAAGCACAGAATGCATTTGAAGGGACACAAAAGGGACATACTTACTACTGCAGTGCTGAATTTTGAGGGGAGAGCATCGTCACCCATAAACTCCTTTGGGCTCCCATAGAAGGTCAGGAAGCTCGGCCCGAAGCATGGCAAGAAGCCGGAGAAATCCCCTGAAACCAACAAGAGCTTGAGAGGAAAACCAAGCTCATTTGCAGTGTGTGGAAGAAGGCAATCTCAGGAAGGGATAAAGAGATGTCTTTTCTCTCTTAAGGCAGCTCTGCTTTCAATAGTGTCTTAGCTACATAAATTCATTTCTAGTCAGATTTTTACCAGTCCAATTTCTCAAGCAGAAAGCTGTGAAAGAACTGGGTGCCTGGAAAGAAATTGTCCTAATAGCAAGAAGTACTCAGTTCCAGGAGCCTGATATCCCATCACCAGTGGGGCCGGCTGTTTGGGTAACCCACGGCTGCTCCATCCGACCTGTCACTCAGAGAGCTGTGAGAGGACCCACGGGGGAGCACCCTGTCCACCGTTCCCTGACCCCTTGTCTTGTCTACATTTTGACACAGCCTGCCAGTGGGGCTGTGTTTTGTGAACGGATGGGGTTTATCTCCTAGAGGTTCTGCCTTCAGGAGCAAAACGTCAACCCAACCAGCCAGGATGTGGGAAGTCTGAAAGCTTTCTTACTTTTATTGTCTATTTCAGCCCCTGTGGAAGAGATCTGAGAGAGACTGATAAATGTGGTCCCCAGAATATTTCCGTCTCCATGTTGCTCCCTAGAAAACAAAAGAAAGGAATGTATGGGGTCATTGTGAGGGGCTGTAGAAGGAGCAGGCAAAAAGTGGCCTGAATGGCGTGGGGAGCCACCTGGGGGTCCCAATACAAGCCCCTAGCACCACATCCCCTTGACCCTCCATGTACCAAATCCCTATTTTAAAATAAATTTTTAAAATGCCCAGAAAGCCCCCTTGTGTCTTTCATGGACTGTGGTATCCGTTTTGCTCTATTTTGGATCCTAACCCCAGTCTCCCAGAATCTGCTACACCTTCAATATTTTGATTTTTTTAACCAATAGAGGGTGCAAGAGAGCCTTTTCAGAATATAATTTGAAAAGAAAAATTATTTGAGGTTGAGGGACATGGTTATATTTGCAGATTTCCACGGTCCAGAGGTGGCTTCATGCAGACTCCAGATCTCTGGAAGTTACCAAAATATAAGTATTTGTTTGTTTGTTTGTTTGTTTGTTTTATAGCCCACCTATCTGGTCATGTGTTTGTGTCCCCAGGCAAGCTACAGACCCAGAAGCATCTGAGGGAATCTAACTTGCCATTCAAAATAATTCCACACACAACCCCCACCAGGGAATTATTTAGGCCCTAAGAGGCTTTTTCTAAAAACAGGCAGTAATCACTTCCTATAGCAGGCAGGAAAGGGAAGAGAAATTAGGTTTCAGCAGCAAATAATGTCCCTTAAAGCAGTGGTCCCCAACCTTGGGCCTCCAGATGCTCTTGGACTACAACTCTCAGAAACCTTCACCACCACCTCTGCTGGCCAGGATTTCTGGGAGTTGAAGTCCAAGAACATCTGGAGGCCCAAGGTTGGGGACTACTGCCTTAAAGTGTTCCGGGAGACATGATCTGCAATTTTTGTGCAAAATAAGATAAAATGGGGGAATTTGTGGTATTTAGAAGGTACAGTTGGTGGGCCACACATGGCCTGAGATCCCACACTGTCCACGGTGACTTCAGGCATCAGCACTCACCCATCAAGGATGACAAGTTTGATGAGATCACACATGGAAGGCATCTACGAGGGAAAACATACCAGTTAGGACCTCTGTCTGTGCAAACCAGCTGGCCACGGTCCCAAGGAGATCCCGCTGTTTCTCTCCGAACCCCAATTCCCGAGGGATGCCCCCTCACCTGCATGGGAAAGGACATCAGCTGGTTCCACATTGGGTTGGCATCTCCAAGCACAATATTGGTCTTGAGCTGAGGAGGATGACCCGAGAAAGTGGTTGAGCAAAAATAATCATAATCATCATAATAAAAGGCCAGTTTGGTTTTTTATAGATTGATCAGTCTGTCAGTCTGTCTATCTATCTAAAATATTTTTAGGTAAAGGTAAAGGTTCCCCTTGACATTTAGTCCAGTCGTGTCCGACTCTAGGGTGCAGTGCTCATCCCCGTTTCTAAGCCGTAGAGCCAATGATTGTCTATAGACGGTTTCCATGGTCACGTGGCCAGTGCAACTAGACACGGAACGCCGTGACCTTCCCACCAAGGTGGTACCTATTTATCTACTCACATTTTACATGCTTTCAAACTGCTAGGTTGGCAGGAGCTGGGACAAGCGACGGGAGCTCACTCCATAGCGTGGATTCGATCTTACGACTGCTGGTCTTCTGACCTTGCAGCACAGAGGTTTCTGCGGTTTAACCCACAGCGCCACCACGCCCCCTGCCTTAAATGAATGAATGAATGAATGTGTGTGTGTGTGTGTACTGGTCTTACTGGTATATGTGAGCTAGTGTTCCCTCCCACAAAGTTGCAGACATCCTTCAGTCTCAAGAGACGAGGGTCACGTGCTCTGAAGAGAGGACTTGTAACAGCATCTAGTGTGGCTGAGAAGGTCAGTTCAGGAGTGACCATCCCTTCCACCCTGAAGACAAATACCGTCTGTCCCCTCTCCACAACAACAGAAAGGCTAAAAGTGTGGTTATAGTTCATTCAGAGCAGATTCTGCTCTCTTCCTTTAAGCAAAACAATTAAAAACAACAACACCAGATGATACTCGAGAATGCATTTTACCCACCGTTTTCCCGGCAAAATTAGCTTCCAGAGAAGGGTCAACCGAGGTGCCGGTGGGATCCTCCCTTCTGAAATAATCCACGCCTTCTTGCTGCACTGTTAAGGGAAAGAAAAGGGCCGTCTGGTGAAATCACTCTCTGAAGAGGCAAAAAGACTGCGCCCGCCTTCGTGATGGAGTGTTTGGACCCAGCTCTTCCCAAGTCTTAGGCCCTGTCCTTCAGACACCCCGAAAAGAGGGTGTGAGTGCCCCACTTCCACCCCATCTCTCCAGGAAGACATTATTTGGGGGCAGGGGAGGCTTTTAGCATACTGTCATTAAATAAGGTCAAGGAGGGAGCTCTCCGAGGTGCTGAATCATATCCTCAAGCCAGTCTGTTAGAGAGCTTAGCCCAAAAGGAGATAATAAGAATAAGAAGAATTCTCGTGTGAAAGTCACTTGCCTTCTCTGGATCAAACTACATCCTGTATATATTTTCAAAGACCTAAAATCAGACTGCAAGAGAGGTCCACAGCTCCTACTAGGCACCAGTCATGGCCAAAAAAGTGCCTTGGATATGTGTTGGACTACATCTCCCATGATGCCTGGCCAGCCTATACCTGTAGGCTGGGATAACAGAAGTTGTAGTCCATCATATCTGGAGAGTAAAGGCTGATGTACATGTGTAGCTCGTTTTCATCACCACAAAACAGGCTGGGGAAAGGTTGGTTGATTGATTTTTCTCTTCCCTAAAACATGTTTTTAGCTGGAGACACGGCAGAGGTAAGTGAGCGGTAGATGAAGTATAAGAAATAAAAGAGAGAATGTCGTCTTTTGGACTTTGGCTCCCAGAATCCTGCATCTAGTATGGCCAGTGGAATTCTAGAGGTTGTCATTAACAAACAAACAAACAAAAAGGAATGTTTATGTCTGGAAATAAATAGGAACACCATAGAAAGTTCAGCCCTTTCATCTTGTATTCAGCTATCAGAGACATGGTTGTCTGGCTCCAGTCTGATGACACGTGGCTGAAGACACAGAATGGAAAGACTCCCCTTCCACCACCGGGGTCTCTCTTTGGGTTTGCATTGCCACGGATGTTCATGGCCGGATGCAAACCAATAGGATGGACTGGAGGGCTTACTTTGAGGCACGTCCTGGGCTTGGTATATATAGAGCTGGAGCGTAGCCATGCGGGCTGCAGGCATTGCTGCTAACTGTAGGATGCTGGTTGCGGAATCACTAGCCTCTACGAGCTGGTCAGTATCCTGGAGAAGGAAAAGATGAAACAATAAATAAATTTCAGAGCAGAAAGCTCGCGGCTCTGCAGTTCATATCTCATCCCAGAAGAGAGGACACCCATGTTCCAATTCTGATATTACACACACTCTGTACGTTCCTCTTGCAGCCACTGAAAAACCAACACAAAACCCTTATGTTTCGTGTGCAGAGGGCTGACCTACAGCCACATGTGGGTCCCACAGGTCTACTTTTAGAGGCTCTGGCCCCCTCCCATTCCCCCACCCCACTGGAAGGGAAGAGCTAAAGCCTTTAGGAACAAAATTTCCATTTTTAAGCAGATTGCAGCTGCCTCCATGTTTAAGGTCCCGAAATCTGGTGTGGCTTTTTGCATGTTGACCCCCCCCCCCGGTTTCTTTACCGGTGCATGGTCTCCAGCTCCTAAGACAACGAGGTTGACTTTCACGTAACCCCTTAGTCCAGCATTGAGATTTGCTGGATGATAGAGGCTTAGCCATTTGGAAAGCAGCGCGTGACCTAGGGAAAGGAAATGAGAACATATAGTATTCAGAGCTGCCGCCATGCCCCCCTACTGTACAGCCAGTCCCTGATCGGTTGGACTAGTGTATATAAAATCCCTGACTGGCCCTATGACTAATCCAAAAGGGAGGAAAAGCAGCAGGCATAAATCTAAAGTTGTTGGTTTAACAGAAGCCATCGGATGTATGTGTGTTTTTGGTGAGCATAGAGTACATTTTTAAGGAAAAATTTGAATGTTTACAGAATATCACAGTGGAGCCGGAAAGAAGGAGAGGAAGAGGAATAAAAGGTGGAGGGGGGCAGAATGGACAATCTATGAAGAGGACCCTCAGAAAGCTGCAACTAGCTTTCAGTGAACATACCTGGGGATTCATAGACAAGCCCAATCTCAATCTGCAAAGAGAGTAATGAGGAAGAGTTAATTGCCAAAGAAAAAAGGAGGCAACGACCAAGAGACAAAATATAGGAGCGATTCAAAACGACGATGGGGACCTTTGGATTACAAACAGCAGTCACTTAAGCCCTGCCTCCATGAGGGGTGTTTACTGACAGAGTGGATAAAGAGGAATTTCGGAAACTGGCACTGCTTGTTAACCTGCTAGGAAACTCTGCCTGATGCTGGAGGAAGGGAGGAAACCATGGAATGGCAAGTATTTGTGAAGAACTGGGATTTTTATTTTTTAAACCACCCACTGGTTCTTGTCTTAGAGATCCAGACCAATGGCCCAGGATGGCTTAGGGTCCACTGGGTTTGACCGCAATGCACAGAGAAGCACCGGAAGCATCCAGGGCAGAGGGTGGCCTAGCAGCTCCTCCACAGGTATCCGACAAACGAGCACCTCCTCACCTTGAAGACGCCAATGAGGGAATCAGCTCTTATTGCCTTGGAATTCAGGACCTGGAAAATGAACAGAGACCACACCTGACGTGCGTGCCCCTCAAAAACATTCCTTCCGCTATCAGGGCAGGTGCATTTTCTCACCTCAAGGGCTGCTTATGGTATGGCTAGAAAACATGGGGCTTTGTATCCCGTCCGCCTGTGCAGGCAGGCATTCTTCCCATACCCACATCTCAGGAGACTCCAATGGGGAGGCTTAAACCTCCGCTCCCTGCCTGACGAAATCTAGGGATTGCTCCGGTGGCCGGGATAAGGGTGGTCTCCTTTCTTCTCCCATGGTGATCGCAACCAAGTCTGTCACTCAAGTAAGGTAAATGATGAACCTGGCCGTACCATTGCAGGAGTTGAAAGTGGCCTGCCGCCTGTCACATTCCACAGGATCCGGCTGGAATCCTTGCCGCTAACGGTTTTGCCAGGGCCCTGAGTTTTCCTCCTGTGACCTGGAGGATCCTCCTCCAGGTGAAGGAGAAAGAACGGGCCTGCCCTGGCTTGGTGGCCTACAAGTTGCCCACCTTTTCTGTCTGTAAGAGTATATCCACACGTCTTTGAAAGAGACTCTATACAATATAGACACGCATGTACTCTTGAAACAGGACAGGGTCTGAGGCCATGCCCACTCACTCCTGGATTATTAGAGCTTTTCTGTTTTGATTTCTCTTTATTTCACTGAAATCTTCTCCGGGGATTCAACTGCACACAAGGTGTGAGTTGTACCTTACCGCTGCAACCTCTCTTGAAAGCCCAGGGCCTTTTTCAGAACTTAAGGGCATGCACGGCTGCCAAGGCGGAAGCTGGCACAGCAGCCTGACCAGTTGCTGGTCTTACAAGACTGGGCACACAGGTAACCAGAATCCGAACCAGGCAACTCCCTCTTAGATCGGCGTCTGGTTTGGGTTGCTTGCGTCCACTGTTGACTTCGGGTTTTCTTACGTGGCTGCCCTCCGTGGGTCTTGCTCCTCTACCTCAGTGGTTCCCAAAATTGGGTCCCCAGATGTTCTTGGCCTAAAACTTCCAGAACCCTTCAACACTAGCTGTGCTGGCCGGGATTTCTGGGAGTTGTAGTCCAAGCACACCACAAAGTTGAGAAGCACCACTTTGCCTGTTGGATGCTCCCTGGGCCTCACTCTGCCTGGCTTCCCAGGTATCAAAATTGCCTACATAACTGGTTGCTTGTCTGCCATATGAAAAGAGACAAGTCTCTTAAAGTAGATTCTAATGTCAAGGAAGTGCAAAGATTTATGTATTTCTTGCTTACTTGTATGGTAATGTACTGATCAAAAAGTCTAAGAGGTGTCTCGTTGAAGTTCTGGACAAATACCTAAGGAAAAGAGAATGAAAGAGAGCAAAGGGTTAGGGCCCAAACCTGTGATCAGATGAAAACTTTGCAGTGATGAAAATACTGTAATCTGTTGAGACTGCCAAGAAATTAAAGAAAACTCATTCAAGTAATCATCAACCTTGTTCTAGTATGGAAACTCTTTAGCTACCTATGACATTTGAGCTACTGAAAGGAATGGAAAGTCGATTTTGTTTGTTACAGGCTAACATTCATGATGTTTTGATTCCCAGGGTTTGATCTCAAAATAAGGCAATAACAAGTTCTGTAACTCTTGGAAGGACACTCCAGTCAGCATGGATGCTACTGAGCAGGTGAGCAAAAAGCCTGCCTTGGCATGAGGGAGAATCCTGGGATGGTTTTCTAAGGGTCTGAAAGAGTTTGTTTGGTTGCTGTTCTGGACCAGAAAGGCTTTGAATAGGGTCCCATTAATTCCACTGTTGCATGGGCTTAAGAAGGCTGACTTTCCCCTTTGGATACTCCACTATCGTATCTTCCACTGCACCTTTGTGGTTATCTGGCTACCATTTCTAGAGAACCAACAGAAAGAAATCTGTCCCTGTTGTTCTCTGCCCAGAAATGAACAAGTCTAGAAACCTGTTTGCTCTAGTGATCAGTGTGTTTCACAGGAATTAGCAATAGGCCTTGGTAAATCACTTTTAGCAGATCGGCCCCTCTGGGTCCTTTTAGGTGCTGCTAGTTGAGAACTCATTTGACAGGAAAGCCCTTTTTAACCAAACAGAGTGTCAGCAGAGGTTGCTTAGAAGCTAAATGCCATTGGAATGCCAACCTCATTATAGTAAGGGTTGTTCCCCAGTTTGATTCGCGTCCTGAACACGTGATCCCCGATGCAGACCTTGACCACGGGCTTGATGTTGTTTTCTTGCAGCTGCCGGCACTCAAGGATAGCAACTCTGACCTGCAAAGGGAGGAGAGACGGTATGAGGGACTTTGTGAGCATCTTGGGCGATGCAACCTTAGAGTCAAAGATGACACTTAATTACTGCTTGGTTCAGGGGAGGAACAGGCAAGGTGTAGGTGGGTTGTCAGTCTATAGCTACACTCACACCCCTAACCATTATTGCTAGAAGTATGCACATATGGGGGGTCTGTCGTTTTCGGATTACTATAGCTGCCTGGGAAATTTTAGAGGTTATTTTCCAGAAACTGAAATCTCTAGTTATTTCAATTTATGTACCTTTCCCTCATTTTTATAGCCCCTCAAGTCTGAGGCTGGAAAGAGAATGAGGAGATTTAAATTACAATTTTTTTGGATCATAATTCCTAGAAATCAGGATTCTGAGATTTATAATTTGTGAATTAGCTTTTCCCAGATGTAAGGGAGCCTGAGCAATTTTGGGCTCACGAGGTATGGTGGGTGGACAGACGTTTAACTACAGAGTCGTAAAAATACCTCCCTCTCTCTGAACCCACCTTGGGAACGTCCCCTGAAATCTAAGAAACATCTTCTGAGAGAGAGCTTTTTTATTATCCCAGAATTAAGACTGCTCCGTGAATTTTTAACCCGGGGAGCCTAGGCTGCATTACCTGGAAGAGTTGCTTCTTGTTTACAAGCACTTTCTTGGGCGTCAGGGTGGGCACCTCAGCCACCCCGGTCTGCTGTGGGGAAGCAGCCAGATTGTCCAGGGTCGAATCCTTGGCAAAGACGGGGCAGCAAACTGGAAAAGATCGCAAGAGAAACAGCTCTGCAGCCTGGAATGCGGAGAGGTTCTCTTACAGCTCCTTTCTGGAAACAGCAGGAGCTCTGTCAGGAAGGGGGGGCTAAAGAGAGGCAAGCCTTCAACCAAAGCTGGCAAGGATGAGGATCTTTCGTGTGGCCTCCCTGTTGCCTAACCCGACTTTCTAACACTGGGTGGGGATATGAAAGTGGGAGGCAGAGGCGGCTCCAGACATGAAATGAAGAAAGACTAGGACAAAATTGTGATCTTCTCATGAATTTCCAGTGCCAAGCATCCTACACTACTCTGACACAAAGGTAACCTCTTATGGACTAGAAACCTACCAGGGGCCACCAGCCCAAAGCAGTAATTTGCCACTTACTGAATTTCCTCAAATCATGTTTTCTTCCAGGAATAATTTGAGGTTCAGGAGGCGAGAAGGAGATCCTCACTGTGATGGTGCACTGAAATACAGAGGGACAGGAAAAAAATTTGAATTTACATGGAGATAAAGGTAAGGAAGCTGATGGCCTCACCCTGGACCTCTGAAAGATTGCTGACCAAAAATAGATTAGCCTGCCCTGCTGGTTTTCAGAAACCAGCAGGTATAGTTTTTCCAAGCGAAGGAATCAGAGCCGTCATCTGCAAATACTGGTATATCAATACACAGATCAAAACACAAAGAGAGGGATGATGGGGGGGGGGTTGATCATGCCAGCAGGAGCTACCACTGCTGATCTGTAAACTCAAAGCAAACCAAATAAATTCACATCTACCTTAAAAATCCCTCTAAAATAAGAGCTCTCCCAGTAAGAATCATCGCAAGGAAACCAGCTGGAATTTTTATGTATATTGAGTGTCATTTCTTCTTCATTTCTTTCCAATCAGTCGAAGGGCATCAAGTGTCTTTCTTGCATGCAATGTGGGTAGATGCTGATGGCTAGTGTAAGATCTTCCATACCTGAGTCTTGGTCTGCTTCTATCTACCCCCATGGCCCCCAAGCCTGGGTCACCAGTTGTTCTTGGACTACAACTCCCAGAAATCCTGGCCAGCAGAGCTAGCAGTGAAGACTTCTGGGAGTTTTAGTTCAAGAACATCTGAGGACCCAAGGTTGACTTCTGATCATCATCTAGATATTAAAGCTGCCCCCAGAAAGGTACTGCCTTCCTGTCTTACACCGGTGGGCTTCAAATCTTCATCCCGCAGAGCCTGGCTCCTCACGGTGATCATAGCATTGGGTTTTTCAACAGTTCCTGCCAGAGATATGTTGGCTGAGCCAAAATGTCTAGAGGGAAGAAGACATGGAGAAGACAAAGCAATGGATGATATGATTCAACCCAATAGAGGTTTGCATTCCACTAGGAAAAAGCACACTGCCCTTTGCCAGCTCACCTGGCTTTCGTTTTAATGTTCCATTCACGGAGCTGGACCGTGGCAAAAGATTCACTATCCAGAAGTTCATCATCCAGGTACCAGAGGAGGGTCTGTATGGTAAGCAAGAAGAGCAGCTGGTACGGACAGATGGATGGACGGACGGATGGATGGATGGACGGATGGATGGATGGATGGATTTAGCAACATGACCCAACAGTTACAGAATATGGCTCTGATCAACAATACACTCACATTCTATTTTTGCTTCTTGGTTAAAACTGCATTAATCTAAGGCAGCTGTTTTTCAAACAGATAATTCTGTTTGTTGATTCCAGCAGGCGTGATAAGAATAAAGCAAACAAAATCAGAATCAAGAGGATGGCACCCCGAAGAGGGTTAAAGCCCTCTTTCACTCTTCTGTCCTGCTTCTCCTTTCTCTTTTTCCTACCCACACGGTGCCGATTCTTGCCAGACGTCTAACTCTGAACTGGCTTGAGGGATCGCACCCTAGAGCCGTGATTCCCCACCTTGGGTCTCCAGATGTTCTTGGGTGAAGACTCCCAGAAGCCTTCACCACCAGCTGTGCTGGCCAGGATCCCTAGAACTGCCATTCCTATTTATTTATTTATTTAAAAGATCTTTATCCCACCTTTCTCCTTAAAAAGACCCAAGGTTGAGAACCACTGCCGTGAGGCATGTCACTGTATATTAAGGTCGACAACTGAGACCTGAGTCTCCAGGCACCGCCTGAGTGAGGAACATAGAAAGTGGGAGACAAAATTTGATTTTTGGTGGTGTGAGCTGCCTTTAAAGCTTGGGGGGGGGGCTTTCCCGTCCGTTTCCAGCGGGCACCAGGGCTCACTGGCTTAGCATAAAGGGCTTTGTGTTGGGTTCTTTCTTCTCCCATCCCTTGCCTGTCCCTACTCCTGTGACAACACAGGGGCCTCTCTGGGTCTTCACAGAGACACCCCGCTTAGTGTTAGAGGTTGGCCTTGAAATGTTAGAGGATCAGATGCTGCTGACTTTGGGAGGGGGGAAATGTCTGCTTGGGCTCAAACTGGGGCTTCGATCAGGTTCTATATTTTCTTTACCATATCCCTAAGCTATGTGGAGGGGGGACTGTTGTGTACACTGGGACACCCACCCAACAAGTCCTTCTGGCTGAGGGAGTCAGGTGACCCTAAAGGGCCAATCATGGGTCGTTGTAAGAGTCGAAGGAAACTGATGCCCAAAGGGTCAACCGCTTCCCTTCAAGGTTGGCCAACTGCGATCCTTGTCCTGAAAGAGACCGTTCCCAGGCTTGGGGTGCTTACCTCATTCCAAACAGGGGCCTGCTCCTTCTGAATCACCCTCGTGTCCCTTACTACCTCTAGGAGAAATAAAGCAGAAATATAAAGATAAAGCAAAGGGCCCCGTTCTCCTACTTCACTGTTCTCTAAATCAGGGAAATCACCACCCCTTCAAATGATGACACAACCCTTCATTGGAGTCAACTTGGCCTCTGGGCTTGATTCAATCACAGACTTTAAACACCTCAATGGCTGAAATCTATTGAATTCCAACTAGAGTAAGATAAAGGTAAAGGTTCCCCTTGACATTTAGTCCAGTTGTGTCCGACTCTAGGGGACAGTGCTCATCCCCGTCTCCAAGCCATAGAGCCAGCGTTTGTCTGAAGACAGTTTCCATGGTCACATGGCCAGCGCAACTAGACATGGAACGCCGTGACCTTCCCACCGAGGTGGTCCCTATTTATCTACTCATATTTTTACATGCTAGGTTGAACTGCTAGGTTGGCAGGAGCTGGGATGAGCGGCAGGAGCTCACTCCGTAGCGTGGATTTGATCTTACAACCGCCGGTCTTCCAACCCTGTAGCACAGAGACTTCTGCGGTTTAACCCGCAGCGCCACCACTTCCCTTTACAACTAGAGTAGGTCCATTGAATCAATGGAATTTGCAGAAGGGTTGACTCATTAAATTCTCACTGACTCCATGGGCCGACTCAGGTTGTGATTTACTACTTGACTCCAGACAAGATGGATCAATAAATAATGGACTTTGAAGTGGTATCGCCAGATCTTGGGTAAGTTATTATTTTTTTTAATGCAAGTCCAAAATGCCAACAGAGGCATTCTGGCAGAGATGTCAAAAGAGTAACTTTTCTTTCAGAGATGTCAAAAGAGTAACTTTTCTAGGCTGGGCACAAATCTCAACCCAACTCCCATACGCCGTTGTTCAGATAAAAAACGAGATCCAGAAGTATTAATACTTTAGAAGATGGATAGGGTATCTCCCTGACCAGAATCTATTTTTTCTAAAGCAGGTGAAGTTTCTTTGCTACTTTACCTCTGAAGGAGCCGGTCACATACGTGTCCGGGTGATCAGCATTTTCAGGCGGTATGTGAGCAGAAAGGATAACGACACGCAACATCTTTGCTTCTCCTCAGCTTTTTTGCAAAGTCAGTTTATGAAAAAAATTAACTGGGAGCCTTTTCTGTTCTCCTCTTAAACCCCTTATAATCACTTTAAATCTGATACTCTCTCTCTCTCAGCAGTCCCTTTACAACTGCAACAGATCACCTACAGTGGTTAATACCAAAGTCCCCTCTGAGTTTTCCTCACAGAATTGCCAGTTCAAAGGGAACTTGACTTCTTCTAGAGCATGTAAGTACTGTAGAATTAATGTAGGTTGACCTCATAAAGTAGAAAACAGCAGGAAGAGCTTCTAAAATGTGATGTCATAATGCCCAAGGCAGGAAAAGTCAGAACAGAACGAATGAACGATGGAAGTAACTGAGATCATTCTAATCCCTAGTTAATAAGCTATTGGTGTAGGATAAATTATTCTAATTGGTCAAGTAATTCATCCATGTGATAATGCAGTAGACACAGGGCGTGGGACGGTAACATATTTTCTCTCTACTTTGGAGTCGTGAGGTCACTGTGAACATCTGAAGATGGCCGGCCACAGAGACTGGCGAAACGTCAGGAAGAACAATCTTCAGAACACGGCCAAAGAGCCCGAACAACCCACAACAACCATTATATATTGTTGTCGGTACCAGTTGCCTGAGAGTCTGTGTTGTGTAGCAGAAATGGTGTCAGAGCAGGCCTCAGGAGACCGGGGTTCAAATCCTTACTCGCTCATGGAAATGCGATGGTGACGGTGGCAAACGAACATCTCCCTGAACATCTCCTGTCCATCAGAAACCGCATCAGGGTCACCCTACGTTGGAAGCATCGTATCAACAGATAGCACCTTGGGTCCTTTTGAGAAGAAAGGCAGGGTAAAAATATTTTAATTAAATAAATAAAAATAGCAGAAACACTGGTTCCCATGCCCGCTTGGGGGAGCTGTAGTTCAAAAGAGCAATTTTTAAAAGTTGTGATCAGGATTCTGACTCCCACAAGGAAGCTAAATGGCCCCCTTACTCTTTCCACTCTTGGGGGAGCCCTAATTGGGACATTACGAAGGGAGTAAACCCAATGATGGTGGTGGCCTCCTTCGTCACACCGTTATACTGGCAATTTCCCAACTCCTGGACAGGACTCCTTTTCAAACCACACCGTGAGAGCACTATTTCATAGCATTCAAAATAAGAATGGAAAAATACTCGTAAAATGTGTTCTTGTTGATCTAGGATGTCTTGACAGGATCGGACACGTCAAGGGAAAATTTCAAAGCCCCACAAGATTAAAAGCATAGCACCCACAAACTGCAAGAATGGAAGGAGTGGTTGATGGCTGAAAAAGACACAAGCAACCTGCTCAATGCTTCAAATCTGAAACCAAGCAGCAGAGATTTCATTTTGGACAATTCGGGTAAGTGGGCAAATGGTATAATTTTGTGCAGACATGGGCACTTTTGTGCAAAACCTAGTTTGGTGCCCGTCCCAGAACCCTATCAAGACAGCTTGGACATTCCTAACTATTTTCCCCATCAAGAGGGGAAATATTATAGTTCTTCATCCTCCGTGGAAGGTGAGGATTCTGTACTATGGTAGATTCTGTACCCATCGCTCAGAATCTACATGGGAAATTAGAACATCTGCTCTTGTTTTGTATGGCCACAAGATGTCCTTCCTTGTTAGTTGAGTCCTGTGATGGGAACACAGCCAGAGAATGTAGGTAAATTTCTCTGCTTCGTGTTATGAGTGTCATCATCATCATCATCTTAGAACGGCAGAGCTGGAAGGGACCCTCTGGATCACCGAGTCCATTCTCTGTCAAAGAGGCACCGTGGGGGGAATCAAACTGCCAACCTCTGGCTCCGCAGCCAGGTGCCTTAAACCACTGAGCCATCCAGCTGTTCATCTTCCTCAAGTACCCATGGGAGTTGTAGTCCCAAGAGTCCAGCACTCAGGGGTCTCTACGCTCATGAAAAGGGGAGGATATATACTTATTTTGGAGCAGAGAAGAACAAGACAAAGCTGTCTCTAAGGCTGACCCTTAGGAATGACCAGTCCCATTCATTACCCAAAGGCACAGGAGAACATCTCAGCAGAGTCTGCTTTCATCATATTTATTGCAAGGCCCACATAGAACTTCCTACAATAGACACAAGACAGTTTCCGGGCAGAAGTTAGACTCCTTGGAGTGTTAAAAGATGTCTGTTTGTCCTAGCTTGTCTCGCATTACAGGGTCCTTTGTCTTGTGATGGGTCATCAGAGAGTAGATTATAGGCTTAATGTGCAAGTCTGACTGCTCTGGCATGAAGATCTGAAAGAACTCTGTTGCTGAAGGAAAACACACCACTTGCTTCCAAACACTGTCCAAATGTCTTGTCTACCTTGAACCACATACACATTTTCCTGGAAGTCAGTCCCACTTCATAAAATGGGCTTACTTCCGATGAACCTGGCAGCTGTAGCTGAACTATGCACTCGAGCAAACCCCTTATTCTGAAAGTCACATCTCAGGACTCAACGGCGTCTGTCACAAAACCAGTCTCTTAGTAAGCTGCACGGAGTTTGATAGGTAGAAAATGCTGCTAAAACATCCAGTGCCTTTAAATACGTTGCTATGATTAAATTTCGATCTAAGCCCCTTTGTGTCCAGTGATCTTGTCCTCTTAAATTCTGTATTTAATTTTAAAAATAGCCCAGTTCCAACTGGGAGCATCTTCAGACAGCGACACTTTGGCTGAGCGGAAATGCAAATATGATTAACCGCAGAAGCGCACCGCTTCGGATGTCACCGCGGTGTCACCAGGCGAGGAAAGCAAACAAAAAGAATAAAGTTTAATGCCACTGTGAACACTGTTAATGCGAAAGTCTGTTAAAGTTACAGGGCAGGTATAAAATTTTGTGTCTGGAAACGTGGAGTAAAAGATGAGGACAAATACAGGTTCAGAAAGACTTCTGCTGAGATAGTTAATGAATGTACTTTAGTGGCCCCTGAAGGCATATTTGTTAAAAATCGACCCTGACCTGATTCTTTTATACAGAGAGAGAGAAAGAGAGACTGATAAATAAATATATAGATATGCAGATACGTAGCTAGAGAAGAATAGGTCGCCTTTGTATACTGTACACTAATTAAATTAGGAAAAAAAACATCTGGGTATCTAAATATCTGCAGGTGTAGAAACATACATAGAGGTGGATAAGACCTCCCACCTGTTCCCATGGCCCTCCCCATATTTTTTCTGAATATTTTTAAATTGAGGTCACCCTCCCTTCCTTTACTGGTGGCAGGGAGCAATGGTCACTACTAGTTTGGCTGCTCCTAAACCTAGCAATTCCAAGTGTAGTGTAGTGGATAGAGTAACGGACTAGGACTTGGGAAAACAAGGTCTGAATGCTCACAAGGCCATGGAAACTCACTGGTAAAACCACTCCTTAAATATCTCATTTACCTTGAAACCCTTATGAGGGTCTCTATAAGAACATACACGTACAAGCCTAAAATAACTTGGGGGGTGGGGGAGAAGGAGGACCTGGGGCAAATTGATCCATTTCAGTAGATATTGAGGTGAGGGATATATGTGGTCCATATGTCACATTTTATCTGTTCCTCATATAGATGGTGTCTATACTTGAGTAAAAAGATCATGCCATTCAAAAGGCTGAGTTATTCTGGAACACGTGTCTGTAAAACTCAGAAAATGAGAACAGATATAAACAGATTACGCTCTTTTCTTATCTTGCATAAATCTCATTTTTCTCCCCACAGGCATATCTTAAACCTCCTGGACCACTAGTGTTTGGTCGCCTCTTAGGCCCACACTCTCTTTGTGCTATTGTGGAGGTTGATGCTCTTGAGGATGCTGAGTTTCCACCACAAATGTTTCTGCTGCCATACAATGGGTTGCCCCAAGAAGAATCTCTGCACTTATTTGCTCCACTTGTCCTAAGGAGAAAGGAAGCATGTTAGGAGAGTGGCTTAAAGCTGAGGGTAAAAAAATAGATGCATGCCCATTACGTGATTTGCAGAAGTCCTCCCCCCACAGAGGTGAAAAAGTTTGTTTGTCGCAGCATGCGATTTTCCTCACTTCTGTATCTTGCATTTATCAGGGTTTGTTTCGGATTGGTCGTTGAAAGGTAAACATAGTTTGGATTTCTGAGTTTAACTGCTGAGGCAACGTATTTCTGAGGGTTTCCCATTGTAGAAGGGATACTGGGTTAGCTGGAGGGAAAGCATATTCTCCTCAACTTAGAGATGGGCAAAAGTGTGGCTCTCCAGAACACCTCTTGTGCTGTGTTCGAATTTCCTGAGTTGCATATCAGACACCTCAAAACTCCCTCCTCCCCAAAAGGTGGCCAGGTCAGCAGCATCCTCATATGTAGGTTTTTGGGGACAAAACCTCAGAGACTTATTGGGGATAGATCTTTGTGATGTTATTTTAATGTCTCAAAAGCAAAGTGGGAAGAGGTAGGCAGGAAGACAGCAACCGGACAGGCCTGAACCACAACAGTAATCCTACTTCTCCTCAGATGATTGGTCTCTCTCTGCCTGGAGAAGCACGACAGTTCCCTGAGACTCCGAAGAAGGAGGAGCCCTTTTCGTTGGCCTTTTACAACTTCTCTTTCTCAGTTCCTAAATCTCCCGGTCATTTGTCTCCAACTGCACATTTTTGTTGCAGCGCGAAGCTGGGTCACCCATTAATGCAAACTCAAGCGCGGCTTGAGATGATTCAGCCGCCCGCTGCCGAGTGGAAAAGAGAGATAATTGTAGCAGGAACCTAAATTATATATTTGGCACTTTATCCGGTTAGACATTTATGTTGAAAAGTCTCCCGTGTGGGTTGTGGGTCTTTTTTTAAGAAGAAAAGTATCAAGCTTATGATCCGAGAAAGCATCTATGCCTTTTTGAGACCAGCAGGGAGCCAAAATGCTTATAGCGGAGCAGCGCTCCCCTGCTGTTCCAGAACCCCAGCTTCGTTTTTGTCTGAATTCTAATTGTATGGATTGAGGTCTCCGAGCACCACTTAACATTCCATAATGACGCCTCACAAAGGGCCAAGGGTAATTGTCTGTCTGGGTTTTTAAATCTCTGCAAGAGCTCCC